ATTTATTCAAATGTTTATATTATATAATATAATACATTAAATAAATAAAACACTATTTAAATCTACAGTATTACAAATTTGTTTGTTTGTGTTAAGACTTATTTTTTAAATACAGTATTTAATTTAATAAAATATTCAATAATAACACTATTATTTTAATGTATGAAAATTAGCTTTTAATTTAATTAATTATATTTTTTAAGTAAAAAATGAATATATTAAAATAAATGTTCACTTAATTTATGCATAAAACCGATAGAATAATAGTTTTGAATTATATTTTATTTTAGAAAACAGATAAAAATTAATGTATATTTAAATTCAATGGTAAAGTTAGTTGCAATGCAAACACAATATTACATTAATTATAATTAGTAAATAATATAAACACAAAACAAAAATAAAAGTTTTGAGTTCAACTGTCAAATAAATTATCGTAAATACAATGCTTTATAATATTTAGTAATAGATTTTATTTTTTATTTATTTTGTCTACAATTATTATTATTGTTACAAATTATTATTTTATTTGATGAATAAGTCAGTATAACAATGAGTGTTCACTCATTGAATTCAATGATTTTTTATTTGAAAATCTAATGGCACCGCCAAAAAATCATATGTTATGTATGTTTGTGATACCTGTGCTGTTAGTGTCTGTTCCCGTTTTTTTAGGGGCCGTTATAATCAAAGATTTTGCAGCAAAAACTCCTTACACCGTATATTTGGCTCATTATATGACTCGTATGTCTGTAATACAGACTCTGTATGTTAGGCCCCATATATTGCTCACACCTTTTGCTGGCAAACCTGTAATCACAGTCTCTTTCTCTCTATGTTTCTCTCTCTCAGTTCATATGATTTTTCTTTAATCATATAAAACATGCTTTGCTTTTAGTGGCGCTAATCATAATCACCCATCGCTTGCATTACTTTCAACATTTTCTATACTTAAATCTTCTCTCAAAGTTATTATAGTATTTACACTATTATATAATTTATGTCAACAAATATTTTTAAAAACTGTTTTCCAATAAAATGTTTAAAATAATTAAATTATTGTCATCAAGTTAATACTATATTAGTAATTGTAATAATATTTATACAGATATATTGCGTATATAGTATTTACAATATATGCAAAGTTATATTGTACCGGTATTTGTAATTGTTGTGTTTAAAAAATATAATATATAACTAATATAAATGTTATAAAACTATACCAAAAAGTGTTATATTTTTTTTAAATATAAAAAATGGTTATAAGTTTGTCATCTAAAAAACATTTACGGATCGCTGTATTAGGTTCGGCACAGACGGGAAAATCGGGTGAGCATTAGTTTACATACATTTTTGTAAAAAAAAATAAAGTAAACCACAAGTACTAAGTTTTTAATTAAGTAAAAAAAGTTTTTTTTATTGTTTAAAAATAATTTGCGAGAAATGTTTTTTACAATATAAGTTGTGTCCCAATAACCTAATGTTTTAATGTATTAGTTATACATCTCTTTTCTCACTAATATTTGTTATGTTTACGTGTGTTTATGCCTTTCATTTGATGCACTAATTTATTTTGAGTCTCTCTCTCTCTCTCTCTCTCTCTCTCTCTCTCTCTCTCTCTCACACACACACACACACACACACACACAAACAACACACACAAACACATAACTTATGTGTGAGTGAGTGATATTGTATTAATAAATTTGATTATTTTTTGAAGTTAAAAAATAATAATTCCCGCATTTAAATTATATTATTACAAATAAAAATTGTTATAAAATTTAATAAATCAATAAAATAGTATTAAATGTGATTTATTTAAACGAAATTTTTATTGTCACTATAATTATTTATATAACAGTACATAAATCATGAGTAAATTTCATCAAAAAAATGTTCATTTTTATTATTATTATTATTATCATATTGAAGATCTTCATTTTTTTGTAATTTAGTAATATAAAGTTAGTAAATAATTTTTATTATGAACTAAAACATATTATATATGTTTCAAACCTTATATATAATGCTATTACAGTATATTATATATGCTGTATAAATCTTACAACTATAGTAATAACATTTATTATATTTTAAATAAATGTGTATAATATAAATGTAAATAAATATAGTAAATAATAATTCAACACAAAAAAAAATATTTTGCCAAAAATTTCTATACTTGTTATGTAACATAATAGCTGCCCAACCCTTTTAATACCTACCTTTAGTGTTCAAATTATAATTAACGGTAATCCTACCGATGATAACAATCGATATTGTATTTATCGTATAATATTTTACTTTATATATTGAGTTTTATTTAGCAAAAATAAAAAAGATAATTATACAGAAGTGATTAGTTTACACAATAAACCATATGATAGGCTGAAACCATTGGGGATAACCATTAGAAACTTTTTATTATTATTATATTGTTTAAATAAAAACAAATATAATACCGATTTTTATGTTTGTTTATTTAAGAAACGATATAAAAGCATAATATTTCTTTTATATATATTTAACCACAAATGTGGATCAGCTCACTGTTGGAAACCCCAACTCTTATGGCACTCCTTTGATATCTCTATACGGTATAAATATAACACATTTTGATAAAAAATTATTTTACTACTAAAGAAAAGTAAATAAAAATAATTATTAATTATCAATATTTTTGCTTAAAACTATATAAATATAATTTTACTTAACAATTATTATTTTTTAAAATAAATATAAATATATTTTGTTTATTATATTCAATATGCGTTTCAAAAACATTATTTTTACATTAAATAAATTAAAAATTAGTTATATTTATATATATATCTTATATTTTCTTTAAAAATTAATATACATTTATAAACAAAACACATAGATACAACAAACGTTATTTAAAAATAAAAATGATATTTATTTATTATTTATTACGGTATTATATATATATATTTATATTTATAGTATATACTTAAAAACAATTTATTAATAAAATTGAACTAAATTTTAATATAATATTTTAATTTTAAAATTAGTGTGTTTTTAAAAAAAATAAATAAAAAACGATTATAATTTTCCCTCTCTTTTTTCTGTCTATTTTTGTGAATATTACGATTTTATTTTTCTAAAGATTTATTAAATTAAAATGCAAATCATATTTCTCTTTTGAGACAATTTTGATGTAGATCTCTCTCTCTCTCTCTCTCTCTCTCTCTCTCTCTCTCTCTCTCTTTCTCTTTAATATTAAATGTGTTCAAAAAATATGATATTCAAGTAAAACCTCAGCAATTTTTATAATCAAATACACACCTCTTATCTCATTTAATGACAATTTAATAACTTTCGCACACCTTTTACTATGAGTACAGACATCACTGTAGGGGTTCAGCCCTCCGGAGGGAAAAACACGCCACCAGTGCTTGACTTCAATTAATTCAAACACTCTCTGCTCTACTAATAATAATTATAAACTAATATTATGTTTTTTATATTTATAAATTGTATAATTGTATAGTAGTATCAGTAATTTCATGAATTATAAGTAGATTATAGAGTATTATCTAATATTTACAGTTTATGTTACAATATATTAAAAAACAAGTGAATCCAGTGTTTGGTCTAATTTTGGCAATTAATCGGAATTTTAAATTAGTTTTTATTGGAACACATTTTAATGCAATAAATTATAAATTACTAACTTTTTTCGCAATTGTTTTTAATATTATTTCTATTGTGTTAAACAAAAATTAGTTTTTTAAAAAAATTAATAATTTATTTTAGGCCTCTATATATAATTTTTTCCATAAATAATTGAAATTTTAAATTTAGTATTTTTTCTGGAAAACTAATGAATTCAACTATTTATAAGTTAATATTATATATAATTTTTAAATATCTTATAACTTTGAATCAATTATTATATTTACGATAAAACTAAAGATTTTTTTATTTTAATTTTTGTGAATTATATTTTACCAAATAATTTTTTTTTAAATCTACAGTTTTGTTATATTTTTTATAATTTAGAGACGATATGATATACTGTATACATGTAGTGATAATTTTAGTGTTTTACCTATTAATACCCGGACTCGTATATTAAATTATATAAAAATACTCTAAACATTATTTGTACAAAAGTATAATTAAAAAAAATTATTACAAATTAATTAGTCAATAAATAGTTATCTTATAGCATTTCTAAGCAATAAAAAAATTAAGTATAAACTAATACATAACTTTTATATAAACTTTAATATTAAAATGCGATCAGTATTTTCAATAATTTTTAAGGTTAATATATTAAATGCACATAAAAATACTGTATATTATATATCATTATAAAACATATTATATACGATCACTATTGAGATATGGATTTTATGAGTTAACATTAAACTTTTGGGTAGAAATTTCATCAAATCGTAAAAATAAAAATATATAAATATATTTATTTGACACCACTTTTCCGGATTTTATTTGAGTATTATTTATATAATAGTTTTATTTTAGTTTTATTTTTAAATAAAAAATAAATTTTGAATCACAAATCAATTTACAAAATTATGTATAATATCTGTGACATAAAAGGTTTGAATTAATGACAAACAGTAGGCAATGGATAATCTCAAGGAATTGAATTTTATTAATTAAATAAAACTCAGTTTTGATTTAATAAATGTCAACTAGTTTTTTATACTAATATAAAAGTTAAAATATTTGAATATTTAGTGTATATATTAATCTAATAATAACTATTTAAAAATTGGGATTTTTTTAAAAGAGTTTACTTTAAAATCGTGATTTTATTATACTTAGAATTTTTTTTACTATAAAATCATTTTAAAATAAAGGTTAATATTTTTGTTTTTAATGCTTTAAGTGTTATAAATATTATAAGTTTTATAATATTTATAAATTGTAATACATTTTGACAAGAATTGTGTTATGAGATAATTATTTTGTTAATTACTCACAAATCACTGTCTTGTGGTTAAGAGATTTAGATTTCAGAGGAAAATGAGCCCTAATTTTGAGGCTAAAAGGATTAGATTTGATTTGGAAAGTGAGCATCAATTATGTCCGTACAGTAATTTTGTCACACATACCTGTCCTATAGGTATATTATATTACATTAATTAGACATTTTTTTGTTATTTTATAAAATTAAAAAAAAACTAATAACTGTTCTATATATTAATTATTTCATCAAAAATTGCTTATTATAAGAACATATGCTTATAATGACTAATTTATAGTAATTAATATAAAAAACTATAATAATCTAATATCAATATTATCAAATGTATTAATCAAATTATAAATTTTATTTATTTTAATATTTTATTTAATTTACAATAATTAATCCTAATAAAACATATTTAGTACATTAATTTTTTACACTATTACACTATTCCCGCGCAAAATATTAATTTTATTATTTTGTTTTACTAAATACACTATTTTAGACTTTTTAATGTATATCTATTAAATAAAAACATTGAGTTAACTAAATTTTAAATATTTAATTATAATATTTTTTTACTTCTTTTCTTTATTATTATTATTACATTATTTTAATATTAGTCTTGAAGTAAAGTTGAAGTTTGCAATTAAATTATTGTTTTATTCAATTTTGAATGAACTTTATTTAAGCACTTCATCATAATTTGAATATTTTTTAGTTAACATTAAATAAATAATAGTTTGTTTGATTAAATAGTTTTTATATTATATTTTTTTAATTTTATTTAAAAAACAACTAAAAGATATTTTAAAAAACAAATTTAATCTGATTTTAGATTTTGAAGTTCTTCTTCACATTAAATGAGTTTTAATTAAATTGAGTCCTCAAAAGTGGGTCTTATTTTATCAATTTATATATCTTTACACAAAAATAACATTTTTAAACACTTTTTTTAATGCATAATATTAAATGTTTGTGTACTTATTGTACTCATCTTTAAAATATAATAAATTTTTGTTTATTAAAACATTAAATTTAGTTTTCAAATATTTGTTTTTTAATAAATTATTAGTTTTAAATTAGCAAATAAATGACTATCAATACAATTTTAGATAAAAATATTTGTTTAGCAAAATTATGTTTTTTATTAAGTAATTTTAGTTTTTTTGAAATATTTATATTTAATATATTATATCATAGATAATCATTTTGAAAATTAAAGTTTTTATTTGTGAATTATCATTTAAAATAAATATATAAATAGTATTTTTAACTATGTAGTTATATTTAAATCAAATAAATATTTAAATTTTTGTAACATTTATGATAAATAAAAGAGTTAAAAGTAAATCTTATTTTGTTTTAAAGTCACGAATTTATTATTGAGATGTTGTATAAACTATCAAAAGTTATTATTTATATCATTATAATAGTTATTTAAATTGTTTTTTCTTCAGAAAAATACATTATTATTAATATTAAACTTATTTTCAACAACTTTTTATTTTATTTTTTTAGTATATTGTTTGTGTAAATAAATATCAGTATAAATGCAATTGTAAAGATTTTTAAATTTATTAAAATTCATAACAATTGTTTGTACTAAATATATATTATTTTGTATGTTTATATATTGTTTAAAAATAAATAAATAATTGTTATTTTTATGGTTTGTTTAAATAATAAAGTTTAAATAAAGTTATTTAATATTATTATTAATTTACTGTTATTGCAATAATATACTGTATATATTTATTATTTATATAAAAATTTATATAAATTATATCTTTTATGCTATAATACAGGTATAATAAATTTATTATTAAAATATTTAGGAGAAATTATGAAATATTATAGATTTTTATTTTTAGACAAACTATTTAATTATAATGTTTAACCTTATAATCTATATTTAATATAACACACTGTTTAAGTCATGAAAAATTTTAAAATATTATTTAATGTATACTCCATATGTTAATTGTACACAACATTTAAGTACATAATTTACAACAGAGAAAACAATATTGTTTTCTAATACTTTATATAACTAAACCAAAAAAAGTTATATATTTTTAAAACACGTTATTTGACTGATTGTGTATATGAATCACGCTTCAGGGCTTTAACTCTATTGCCTTAAATAATAATAATAATAAAATTGGCAAAACACAGGCACAGACCTAACAGTCCTACAATTGCCTCATTATATGCCAGTTGGTTGTGTGAGCGCTGGTCAGACAGGTCTGGACTGTCTGTAAAAGCATTATATTTATATATACAGCACAGTATATACTCATAATAGTTTTACACTGATTATAGGCTTTTTTAAAAATGCATTTTTCCGAGGCATAAGGTTTATCATATGAAATGCGTTTAAACACTTAACACAAAATGCATAAGTTTTGTTTGAAAGCAAAATAATAATAAAAATGCGAAAAATGTTTCCTGTTATGAAATCCAATTATAAAGATTGGCCACAAAATAATTGTTTTAACAATAAAGTAGAAATTGTTATAATTAATAATTAACGAAAAAATACACTCATATGATATAAGGCGTTGAATTGTTAAGTTGACTATTGAAAGCACGACACGACTATTGCATGACTGATGACACCCTCCCTATGCTCTCATGACATGACTTTATTAAAATTATTATTACATTTTTTTGTTTGTTTATTTTTTAATATTAAAATTTTGTTGTCAAAAAATCATAAAGTTAAAAAACAAACAAAAAAATTTAATAAACACAATACCTGTATAACAATTGTATTATTATTATAACTATCGTTTCATTAGTACTCAAAAAAATTCAAATATTTTTTATTATTTTATTTGAACGCAAAAAAAGTTTTATGATTAATATTTTCAATTTCTTTTAGACTAATTATTTAATCCCTATATATTTCTTATACTTTAATTTATTAAATTATAATCATAAATGCATTAGCGATTAGATTAGATAATCGATGAATCCGTTACCCAGTTATTAGTAAAACCACAAAAACCAACAAAATAAATGGCACAACAATTATTTTATTTATTTTTTGTAGCAAATATTAAAATATATTTTTAAAATATATTACAAATTCATGTGATGTGTTAATTTTTTTCTTAAATATACAATTAAAAACATAAAATATTTATACTATATTATGAAAATTAATGAGATTCCCTAAAATAGTATATATATATATACTGTATATGTATAAATGTATGTATGTAAATTATGTATGTATGTATGTATGTAAGTATATATATATATATATATATATATATATATATATATATATATATATATATGTGTGTATGTATGTATGTGTGTGTGTGTGTGTGTGTGTGTGTGTGTGTGTGTGTGTGTGTGTGTGTGTGTGTTTGTACTAASAATATTAATTTACTATTTATATAATCCTATATCTTTACTGACCTTGAAATCTGTGCTAATAATATTTAGCTGTAAAATCATAATTATAATAACAGTAATAATAATAATAATAATTTTGACTTTTATTTGTCTGAAAGTTATAAACTCAAACTTATTATTTAACAGCCATAATAAAAATGTTTTTTATATTATATTATATAAATAATAAAATATATAAAAATATTTTCTAACATCCATTTCAGAAAAATACACACAATTTCTCAGTTAATATTGAATGCACTATTAATCTTTATATAATTTTCTTATATAATAATTTTTATTATTTAAGTCTTATATCATAAAATAATTTCTATTTATTATATATATAATTATTAATTTTTGTATTTTATGTGAATTTATATTAAATATGAAACATATATAATGTGTATTAAATTTATTTTTGGTTTCTTTATAAATAGTATTACAATTTTAATGTTTGTAAGATTAAATTATATACCGGAATATATTTGAAGTTATTAATACTATTTTTTTTCTATATATATGATATATATTACAATATATAAATATGAAACTTTTTAACTAAATAAAGATTATTTATATTTGAGTAGCTATAAAATTATTATTATTATTTACCTTAATATATAATTTTATTTTATACAAAATGCATTTTATCTAAAATTAATCATTTAAATCTAAATAATTTTATATATAACTAGAAAATAATATATATTTTTTTAATTTAAACAGCAATTACTGTGCGATTCTTAACAAAAAGATATATCAGTGAATACAGCTCTAGTAGAGGTAAGATTTGTCCATGATCAAATTTTTATATTATAAATAAAATAATTAATTAGTAATTCAAAGTTAAAAAACATGTTGTTATAAAAAATATAACAAATAATAAATTAGCCATCATTAAAAATGTAATTAAATACATTATCATATAATCACTTACATTATTTTTTGCCATTTAACTATGATTTTATATTATATACTTTATATACAGTATATATACTGTATATAAATTATATCAATAGTACTGTATGTACAGTGTATATGCAGTAAATTATTATTTTAAAGGCTTTTTAGTTACGCTAAATGATTTAATCTTGATTTTGATTGAAAGCCATCTACAAAAATAATTAATTAGTGAATTTTGTGTAGACTAATAATAATAATAATAATAATAAAACATGATAAAGGCATCCAATAAATTTTAATATCTAATCATTTAATTTGTTCAGAGAAACCCCTATATGAATAAACTGTATTTAAAAAAATAATGCAAATGTATATACAGTACAGGTATGATATTAGTTGTTAAATACATTCACAAAAAACAATACTGATTTATTATAGTATTATTATTTGTTGTTTTGTTTGTTTGTTAACCATTTAGTTCATCGACCGTTAGGCTGAATGAATGGCAATAAGCTTTTATAGACAACCAAAAAACATTAGATAATAAAGACAGTAAAGACATACTACTAGTAGTTATCGATGATTATTATTATTTAATACTTTATAGATTGAAAGTTAAATTTTTTTATACATATATATAAAATAAAACAACAACAAAAAGTGAGAGTTATTTTAGTGTTAATGTTTAGTTGAGTGCATTTACCCTTTAATTCATTTTATTTATCTTTTTTTAAAACGGTTTTTAAAACGCTATTTCGTTTGGCGATAACAAACCGTTTTTTAATATAATGTCAATGCCATCCAAATTATTGTAATCAATCAATCAATTTGGTGTACAAACAGTTGCTTTTACTTTGCGTTACATTAATCGGTATAACATATTATAACTTATAGTTGTATATTAAACTCTCACTTCCCCAATATCTTTATTGGATGAAAATAAATAAAGATTAGCAATCAATTTATGACAATTGCTATTTGAAGTATAAATAATTTTTTATGCATTTAAAAATATCAATCAAATTATATTTCTTTATATGGTATAAACAGTACATACTAGTATTATATTAAATTAAAGAAATTAGCAATTTATTTTTATTAGCAATTTATTAGTAAAATTATTTAGTAAATTATGCAATAATTACCTGTTATTTAATACCATTAATTTATATAATTATACTTTTGATTATAGATTTTTTATACACACATTCCGTTAAATTTGATGATATAATGACAGAAATGGAAATTTTAGATACTTCTGGTTGTAAGGTATGACACAATATATTTATATATATATACAGTATATTATAAATAATTAATTTTAAAAATCTATTTAGTCTTTTTAAAAAGTTATATAAAAAACTTTTTTTGTTATCTTTTTGGGAAATGAGTGTCAAATAAAAATTGAGAGTAAAAGTTAATTAAGTGATAAAAACTAAATGTTTTTATTTAATAACATGTGTTTTGATTGACAGAACGCTCAGTGTCTGTACGATCACATCAGTTGGGGAAATGCTTTCGCGATTGTCTACTCCATCTGCGACAAGAAGAGCTTCATTCAGGCCCGACATCTACTCGAAACCATATCTGTGCTCAAAGGGCCGGGAATGTACCCAATCCTGCTTTTGGGTAATAAAACAGATTTAGCCGAACATTCACGACAGGTATGTGTACTTCTCATAACAAATTCATACATTCCTTATAAAAAAATGACAAAATTGTAATCATATAAAAATTAATACTTTCATTTATAATTTAAATTAATGATTAATGTTTTTTTTTGTTTTTGATTAAAGAAAACACTTTTTTCACATATGATTTTTCACATTAGTATTTGATATATACTAATGGTTTCAAAATATTAATCAATTCATTTCATTTAATAAGGTTGAGGTAACCGAAGGGCAAGAGATGTGTGTCCAATACCAGTGCCAGTTCTTTGAGGTGTCGGCCGCCGATAGTTGTATTGGTGTGAGTCTCGCATTTCAAAGTCTCATCAAACAAGTCTATCCATTGCTGGCAATTAGAAATATGCCGGCAAACAGGCGTAAGTCCAGCGCCGGTATTGCGGTATCCAAAATGATTGGTATGGTTTTTGGCAAAAATGGCAAAAACAGTCGAAACGGCAAAAAGAAATCACTTTCCATATAAATTACAAGTTTTTTTAATAAAAAATAGCATTTTATTTATATATACATTTATATCACATGTGTTCCGAGAATTTAATTTTTTAAATTTTATTTTGCATTTAAATTAAACTTAATTTAAATCTACTCTCATTTTTATTATTTGTATGTATAAAGTTTTTATTTATGTATAAATTGTATAAATCAAAAAATTATTTTTATTATTAGTATTAGTTTTTATTAAAAAGTTTATTCATATACTTGAAAAATCTTTTAAATCCCTGATTAAAATCTCACTTTTGAACATTTTTATCATTTTAAAGTTGAGTTATTAAACTTGATTATAATAATTATTTAATTAATTATTTGATAAGAAATTATTTAAAAATCAATTGAACCCATTATATTTATTTAAACATTTATATTCAATTTATCTAATACTCATTCACTTTTACTATAATATGTTTAATATTGGTTATTATATAATATTTTTTAATAAATTTGTTGGATTATTATAATTTTTAAATTAATAAAAAAAACAATTATATTTTATGTAATTAATTATTAAACAATTTTTATTAAGATTGTTAAATAAACCATATATTTTGATTTATGAAGCTTGTTATCAGATTTATTTTATACAATTTTTGAAATAATCAACAAAAAATTTTCTAAACAATTTAAATAAAATGTGTATTTTAAAATTTAAATGAGTTTTTTGTTATCCACGTTCAAAATCACTGATTTAAAATATATATATATTTATGTTGCGAAGTCTGAATTCATATCATACCTCCCCCTTTGGCAAACTCCCAGTATATGAATATATTATAATATTTTTTTAATAAATTTTGAAATATTGAAAAAAAGTATTTTTGTGTGACAACACAATTATTAACGTATAAATTAATTATAAAAACATTAATTAAACATTTATTGCATTTATTTTTGAAAGAAATAGCTTCGAGACAATCGGAAATTCATTATATTTTTATTTTTTTTAAATCATTTTGTATTTCAATTTAGTAGTTTTTATCTTAAAAGTATTTTGTAACTCAAATATGTCTTTTTAATTAATGTAAATATTTACAAATAAATACCTTAAATTAAATTAATAGATTAATAATAAATAATATTTGTTTTAAAAGCTATTTAATGTTTTTAAAAATTTAATAAACATTAGAAAGTTGTCGTGTTTTAATAAATTAAATGAAATATTAATTAATAAATATGATAGCAATTTATTTAACATTTTATTGTGTTATATAATAAATAAAACTATAATTTAAATGCTAAAAAAACATTAGATATAAAATATATGTTTTTATATTCAAAAACTTCTTAAATTGTATACAATGACCTAAAACACACAAAAGAGTCGGTTAAAAATCATAAATTTAAAAAACATAAACCGATTATATTATTCAATAACTTAAATCCATTAAAATTTCAGAAAAAAATAAAACAAATATTAATATTGTTTTAAAATATTGTTAATAAATATTAAGCAAATATTTTTGAAAAAAAATCTTAAGTAGAGATTATTTTTTAAATAATCTATTGTCTTAATAATAAATATGTTGTATATATTAATTCTAATAAGTTATAATTATTGTAATTTTTTATAAATTAATTTATGTCATTGATGTAAAATATTACTTAATAGTCAAACTGTATGTTACAATAGTCGTGCACCGGTAGGTGATAATCCCATATCTTCGTAAATATGTGCCAACGGATTGGGATCCGGTACTCGACTTTGTGTATCAATACGACGATAATTAATGCCAAAGTTTTCTTCAGTAGTGGTTCTCTGGTATGTACAGCAAAGGGGTGAACAATACATAGAGTTTCTGGCGCACCGGCACTCTAGACCTAACAGTTTTAATAATAATATTTTAAAATAGAAAAAAACAATTGCTTTTTTTTGTCAAATTAATTAAATTAAAATTATTTAATAATCAATTAATAAAGTATACAATTATTAGACGCGACACCAATTGTTTCGCCGGTAAAGTAGGCGATACCCCGTATGACACAATCTGCTCGAACCAAACCCTCGTCTAATTTTCGTGAGCCGTATCTCTGTCTTAATCTTCTTGACTTTACATACATTGTTTGGTTTCTCTCAGGTATTGCTGAATATGAAAATTACAAAAAATAATTTCAATAATACTAAATGTCATATAATATTGTTATATCAAATCAATTAGCTTTTCTGAAAATTTTTCGAAATTTATAATTAATTTAAGCATATCTTTATAGAAAACTTTGATATTAAATTAAATTTAACCGTTTAATTGAAAATTTTAAAGTATTATAAAAAATTTATTTTATTATTAAATTTTATAGATATGTTTAATTTGATCATTTTTTTATGTTTATCAAAATTTATATAAATATCATTTTCTAATTATAATTTATAATCATTTTGTTTGCAAAACATGTCTAATAATTTGAAGTAAACGTAAATCTAAAATTATTACGTAATCTAACTTTTTATACTTTTATTATTAATGTACAGTATATGTACTGTACTTATAATATCAATAAATTATTGAGAAATGTTAATTGTTTAAATCAAAATTCTTATTATTCAATATATTAATAACACTTAATTATTTAGTTAGAAAATAAGATATTTCTATTAAATATTACTAAAGTATTTATACTGATTACTAAAATTTACATATAAATTATTTTTGTTGATTTGAAAAATAAAACTATTAATTCAATTTTTTTTCTTATTATTATTATTATTTTTAAAACGATAAATTTAAATCAAATATAATTTAATAAATTAACTGAAAAATAAAACTTACGGCAATTATAAATGGATGGATTGCATACACCCTCGTATGGTATGACTGTACAGCCCTCGGGAGGTGGCGGACAGCTTTGCCTTTAATTATAATAAGTTATATAAAAAATATATTAAATATCTTTTTTTTTTGTTAAAAGATATTAAAAAGTAATACCAAAAGCATTTGACAAAACCGTTGTCACAAAGACAATGATGACATCGATGTCTTCGGACAATTCGCTCGCCGGACAAGTAATTGTTGCCTTTGAACGAACAGCCCTTCTTTGCCGACAAATATTTGTAGATTACCCGCGAGTCTGTGATATATTATATAAATAATATATCACACTATTAATCAAAATTATCTTTTTTTCAAATTATACCATTGATGCTACTGTTGTGATGAGATCTGTTAGTTGTTTGGTTTCCAACATTATGACCGTTCAATGGATTGCATTGACATAATATCATGATATGTACTATAATTACAATCAATAGGAGTAATAAATTGTTTTTCAATGCACTCATCATTATATTTTGTGCACTTTATTATTATTATTATATTATTTGCACTTTTATTTTCCAATAACTTTTTTACAATGGTTTGGTTTGTATGCGAAGATAATACTAATAATAAATGTATTGATTGTCTCTATATATAAGACAAAACAATATAAAACTCATAACTGCTATAAAAAAAACAATCCAAGAGTTGAAAGTAGTTGTAAATGTAAAAGTAGTGACAGGTCTAAATTGATAGCTCTCTCTCTCTCTCTCTCTCTCTCTCTCTCTCTCTCTCTCTCTCTCTCTCTCTCTCTAAGTCTAAGACACATTATTATTGGTCCCAAAACATTATCAATAAAATAAGGTATAGTCAAGAAAGAAAGAAAGAGAGAAAGAAAGAAAGAAAAAGAGAATTAGAAAGCTATGGGTAACCACTTCTGCAGATATAAAACATGAAAATCTTTAGTTTTGCTTCAATAGTATAATTAGAAAGCAATGGCATAATAGACATCAATGCCCTCAAGCATTAAATCGACATAAAATAGACAGTGAAATGACTGCAGACAACAACAACACATCAATTTTACTTTCAATGCAAACCATTTGCTGAATTAAGCGAAACATTTAATAGCTTTTATGCAAATGTCGTTTCAAATTGTATGTATGTATGTGTGAGAAATGTCAAAAACTTTGTTATTTTTAAAATAAATTTAAATATTACTAAATAGTTATTTATCTCAATATTAAAATTGTATCTTAATATTTTTTTATTAAATAATCTCGTTTTTATGTGTATTTATCAAAGATAAATGTGATCTAATTTTATTGTATCTTAAAATAATAAATATAAATAATAATTATTTTCACCTAAAAATAGGATAAATTTATCTAATATGTCTAATGTAACAATACTTGTGTTTAAACTTTAAAATTTTAATAAAACCTAATATAGCAATTCATTAAAAATAAATTTAGATTAACTTAATTATATCTATTTATTATCTCAATAATATAATTTCAATTATTTAGAATAGTATTCCAATAATAATTATAAAATAATTAAATTATGTTAAAATAATTAATTTAAAAAACAGTTTTTTAGCCAGAAATGATTGATATAGACTCATGTTATATGATATTTAAAAAATATTTTTTTACTTATTTTGTTAACATATGTGACCGACTTTTTTTAAAAAAAAACAACATATCATCACTTAAATAGATACTGAGATTTACGCGATATAAACAAAACCATTAATTAATGTAATTTTATGTTATAAACATTTTCTTCATTTATCATCAATTTTTCCAAACATACAAAAAAAATTATTTGTCAAATAATAAGAAATAGATTTGCCACTAATTGTTACGTAAGATTTATATATTTTATAAATATTATTTTTAAAATTTTGAAAAAATTATAAATTAATATTGATTGTAGATAGTAATATAGGTATTATCGTATAATAAATGTAATATTGATGATATAAGTTCACAATTTTAAAAAAGACAAACAAAATGCATAGTATTTTTTTAAATTTTATTTTTATTTTAATATTTTTTTAATGATTAGCACCGAAACATCGGATATATCTATACATAACAACATAGAAATTCCTATCATTTCAATAATGGTTTTGATTGTCAAAAATAGTTAAGAAATTGATTGAATGATATCCGACTGAGTTATAGGTCACGACCTAAACAACAGAAAAAAAACTTTTTGTATTTATAATAAATATGCACTGATTATACATAATATTATCATTTTTATAATATATTTATTGAATTATATAATAATAATATTGAAAAAAATTCAAATACTTGTGTCATAACTTTAATACTATTCTTTGTTATCAATGTTAAAGATTCAAACAGCTAATCGGTTTAATATATTATAAATTAAATATATCATAAAAGTCAAACACAATTAAAGTATAGTAAACTATATATAAATAAAAAACACATAAAATACTAACTTATAATTTCTGATACAATAAGTTGCTGTTTGAGAGAAAAACAATTATTGTGAAGATTATAGTATTTTTAATGATAACTTTCTTGGATCCAAATGCATGGATGAGTCACATTAGTTAGCAAAGGTGTGTATGTATATGTATGTACCGTAAATTTATGTGTATATCTATGTGTATATCTATGTGTATTTCTATGTGTATGTCTATGTGTGTGTGTGTGTGTGTGTGTGTGTGTGTGTGTGTGTATGTGTGTATGTCTATGTGTGGTCTTATAATTTTTTTGAACATTAATTCAGTAAAAGGTCAATAAACAGTAACAATAAAACTCGTGTCTGTGTTTAATATCAATGTTTATCATTTACAGTAACTCTTTCCGTATTTTAAATTTAAATTTTGATTATTATAATATACATAGCCATGTACTGTATTATAGTATGATATTATAATATATTTTTAAAAATGTATCTATTTAAATTTGTATATTAAAATCAATTACGGTAATTATAAGTTATATATTAGCTATTAAAACACTAAACATATAAAATATTATACAATATAATAATATATTACCGTAGATACTATACTGTAGTAGTCATCAATTTAATAACTTAAAGTTATCCAAAAAGTTAAAGACAGTATTCATGTTTTAAGTTTTAAAGTATTAAAATTATAGAAACATTTGATAAATTAAAATATATAATATACCGGTAATAATAATAAAAAGATACTAATAAAATGTATTGTATATGACATTAGAACTGCTATTGTTATCTATCGATAATTGTATGGCATTTGAATGCAATCATAAATAAGTTTTGAGAAATAAATAATTTCTCGATCGATATGAAGCATATCTATTGGATCAGTTGGCAAATTAGCCGAACCGAAGTAAAATTCAAAGTTTGGTTCGCCATTGATATCGAATTTAACAATTGGTATGACATGTGATCCCGACTGAAGAATCGGTGAATTAAATGTTTCCATGGCTTTCATTTTGAGATCATTTTTCAATCGTCCATTTCTATCATTTTTAATCCTAAAAATAGTTTTCTTAAGATATTTCAATTGTGACTTCTTTTCGATACAAAACATTCGGTTCTCATAAACCATAAGCGGATTGTTTTGGTTCATCTTTTCTAATCTATTGTAACTCTCATCCGATTCTTCAACCAATGAATTCATGATATTTGTGTCCAATTGTGTCATACCTAGTGTTGGCAAAAAAAAGAGAAATTTTTAAAATAATAGATAAATTTCCAGAAACTTTCTATTTGTCTATCTCTTGTCAGATCGAGTTTTGTCTAATTGTTTGGTTAGTCTTTGAAGTTTTGGTTATTTGTAAAGATCTTCTGTTAACTACTTTTAAGGCATACAAATGACATAAATTGAGAATTAAATAACTTTTTTAAAAATACAAATCCATGAGTTATATCATATATGTATAAATTCTTAAAGATGTCAAACCATTGTTGTCGATCACGACTAGACTTGAATTGCGTTTGGTTTGACTTCTTGTCGACCGTCGGTTCGATGACCAACCAATTGATTCCGATTTTACTTGTGATTGATCCATAAATAAAAGTCTTATGAATCTTATTAAAACAATACAAATAATTATATAAATTTTTGACTGATATTTGATTTCTTAATTACTCTAACAAAAGATATCGAAAATACCGTTAATTTTGTTAACTAATAAAAACTTTTTTTTTTGTTTTGTTTGTTCAAAACTGTTCAATAATGCTATTATAACACTACATATTAGAAAACATATAGTAATAGTGGCTCTAATAGTGTATTATTATTAATATTATTATAAAATAATATATTGACAGCTAAAACATTGTCATTAAGTTATGTACAGTATATAACTTTGATAGGTTTGATTTGTCGGCAAACTTCAAAGTATAATTCAACTTTTTTTATGAATACTAAATGAATAACTAATAAACCGGATATTAAAAATTTAGGAAATAATAATAATTACGATATAATATTTTTATCATTTAATGATAATGTCATTTTTAACACTGGTTATAACTTATAAGTAGCAGTATTTAAAAATTTATATATACTGTATATATATAATCTTTAATAAAATTATTAGTTAATTAAAATTAACTATTTTTATGAATAATATGTTACGATTATTTGAATTATACTGTATTAGTATAGAAATTACAAATTTGGCGCTTAATGTTAAAACCATTGCAAATATTTATTGTATTTATTTATGAAAACAATACAACACTTACAATGTATTTCATAAACTTATGATTAGTATTATTGTAAAATAAAAAACAATAATATTATAAATTATTAACAAAATAAAAAACATTTTTAAATAGCAATTAAATTGATTGACTAATTGCTGCCAAAAGTAATGGCAAACCTATTGAGAAGTCCAACAAAAGTAAGCCATTTGTTGGCCATTGTATTGAATGGCAACAAAACAGCGGTCACTGCTGTCAGACATTGTATGCATTTTTTTGTGGACACTATTTCTTCAAAACAAATCTTTAAATTTTATTTAAATTGTTTTTCCTGATTGTCTTTGAATTTGATGAACAGGTGGTTTCATTCGCGACTGGAAACCCGGTCACTACCCGAAGACTCAGGAGGAAAGAGAAGCGGCGGCAAAGAAATATAATCTAATTCCCGAAGATTACGAACCATATCCCGAAGGCACGGGTTATGGAGATTATCCCAATCTACCGGTTATTATTTGATGATCTGATTGACCACTTATTTCATGTTTGTAACCCCAATCTATCTGTTGTATTAACAGCCCGTCGGTCAGGATGCCAGAGATCCACACGAAGACTTTGATTACCACTACAGACGGCGAAACTTTGGTGAAACGGTCTGTCATTTTTGTTTGGATGAAAATTCCTCTGATTTAGAGATCATCAAAGTCTTGATTTATTTTATTGTTTCAATTATTTAGTTGAATATCAATTATGAAATCTATACATCCGATCGACACAATCCCAATGAAGAACTCCGATATCCAATGTATGTGTGTTTTGGGATTCATGACATCAAATCAATATTTCCATTAATTAATACATTCATTTGATTTGGTTTTTTTGAACAGTTGGGCGATGTATGCCTTTCCCATCTCAATCTTTTTAGGCATTTATCTGATAGGATTGGCCGGTGATTACTGGGATCTAAGAGTTTCATATCCAGTGGTAAGCAAAGACAACAACTTAGACAAAACAATTTAGATTAATGTAATTATCATTCGCCGATACTAACCATCAAATGATATCTTGAATTTCAGAAACCAAAACAATTCCCAAAGTCTGGTATAACTCATTACACGTTTGAACCGTTAGATAATTAATAGATGACTTGTGGTAAACAAAATGATTAGTTATATATTTAGTTGACTTTCAAATTAATTACAGATTTTTTTTTTCTTAAATACATATTATCTTCAGTTTTAAAAATGTTTATTGTATTGTAATTATGTGTATAAAGCGATGATTAATAAAATTAAATAAATAAAAAACTAGTTTTAAATTTGATATTTATTTTGATATAAAATTTATAATACAAATGAATAAATATAATGTTTAATGAAGTAATCAGTTGTTGGATCAGTTGAAGTGACAATTGGGTGAATGCCTGTTAATCTGCGATTGTTTTCTTAAATTACGGACAACTTTGGCCAAAGCCTCGGGATTGACACCATTCTCGATGAGCTTAAAACATATGACCAATGATTCGGGATCTAAGTCTGTCTTCATAATGTTTGACATCTCGTAAATGGTTTCCATTAACTCTTTGGATCCATTGGGCCGTTCATCCAGTGGTGAGTTGAGACCAAATTCTTTAAGATCGCCGCCTTTGTCGTCCATTCAACTGTTTGTGTTGTAAAATACAATTCAATGAGATATCAATTGGTTATAATTATCACCACTTTTTGGGATCAATTGAAACAACTGTTTCTTTCGTCTCTAACTAAAAGACACAACACTTAGGAGTCATACACAACAACTGTGACATCAATTGAAGTGTTGTGTTGTTGTGAACCCCAATATGTTTTGATTCAAACATATGATTAACACGTGTTTTCCGATACAAACTAATTGTCATTTTTTTTATTGAAATAATTGTCGGTAACTTTGAGACCTAATTTTAGTGACCAAATGGATGACCATTTAAGCGACGACTCGTCTGACAATGACTGGAGTGGCGCTGAAGAACTCGAAGACTGGACTCAAGAATTAACTGATATATTGTGTCTGTTTTGCGATCAAACCGTCAAATCGATGTCCGATTGTTTGTCGCACTTAAAAATTGGTCACAACTTTGATTTGATCCAACTATGTGTTGTCCATCATMTGGATTGTGTTGATTATATTAAATTAATTAATTATATAAGATTTAATCGACCAAAAAGTGATGAAATAAAACAATTGATTGAATCAAAAGTTTATAACTCAGACGACTTCATGAAACCAGTCTTAAGTGAACCATTGGATCAGATGCTGACATTCGGTAGATATACTATGAAATTATTATGATTTCACTAGACTTACAATAAATTTGATTATTTTTCTAAGATATTGAAAGTCATTACAGCGAAGTGTTAACAAATTTAAATGAAGATAAAAATTGTGGAAAATTGTCTGAAAAAGAGCTGATCGATAGGTTAAAGAAAAGTGAAGAAAACGTCGAAACACTGACAAAACAATTGTCTGAAATGCGACGTCTGGTCAACGATTGTATGGAAGATGAGATGGAAATACTGGAACCGAAGCAAAATGTTGGCCAACTGTCCAAACAGGAGGACTCGCATTACGTTTCTTCATATTCTCATTACTCCATTCATTACGATATGTTGAGTGATAAAAGCAGAACTCAAGCCTATGAAGACGCCATCGTTAAGAATAACCATTTCTTTAAAGACAAAACTGTTTTGGACATCGGCTGCGGTACAGGTATTTTGAGTTTGTTTGCGGCCAAAGCCGGTGCTAAACTAGTTGTGGCCGTCGATCAAAGCGATGTCATCTATAAGGCGATGGACATTGCGGTCGAAAATGGACTCAACAATAGAATTAAGTTTATCAAAGACAGAATTGAATGGATTAAATGGGATTTACATGATTTGCCACAAAAGTATGACATAATTATATCCGAATGGATGGGATATTTCTTACTGTTTGAAGGAATGTTAGACTCAATACTATATGCACGGGATGTTTGTCTTAACGATAGCGGTCTTCTTCTGCCAAACAGATCTTCCCTATCGATCGCCGGTGTCTGTGATAAACACTTCCAAAAGAATTTCGTCAGCTTTTGGGATGATGTCTATGGATTTAAGATGACATCTATGAAGAGTGATGTTCTAAAAGAAGCTCAAATTGAATCAATTTCTTCAGATATGATTAATACAAGTGTTTATTCAATAAAAGAATGGAATCTAATGGAGTGTTCACTTGAAGAGACAAAAGGATTTGAAACCGATTTTAAGTTAATTTGTAAAAGAGATGACTCATTGACAGCTATTGTCGGATGGTTTGACTGTCAGTTTAATTCCGATCTATTGGACCATAAAGTGACTCTTTCGACATCTCCGTCAAGTGAATGCACGCATTGGAAACAAACGGTTTTCATTCTCAAAGAACCAATTGTCTGTAAAACTGATGATACAATCGATGGTAATATCAAAGTTTGTCGAAATAAACATGAAATTCGTTCACTAATTGTCGAGATTGTCATAACTGGTTATGAAAAACAAGTCTATCACTTGTCTTAGGAGTTGTTTAGTCAAACAAATTATTTTTATTGAATTTATTTATATAAATCATTTTTAAAATGACAATTTGTTCATAAATTTTTTAATTAAAATAATATCTAATTAAATTTACCGAAATCAAATTAATAATAAATTGGAAATTACCGTTAATGGTGGGCCCTTACCGGTAATGATTACCTATGAAACTACTGTAAAATGAAAATTGGTTTCGGGTTTGATTTGTTTTTTAGTTTACCGTAACTTTAAAATTTTAATATAAACTATATATATATATGTACATAATATCTTACCGTATATTAATACCATGGTCATATTACTTTTTGCTATAATTACAAAAGTATGGTAATTAGATGATCCATTCATGTTTCATAATTGTCTAAATTTAATACAATAATTGAATAGACATTTAATTTGTTGTTCACATTAATTGACTTTATTTTGTTGACAATTGATATCTTAGTACATATAACTCGATAATATAAGCATCGGTTTGCATATATGTTTCGTTCGTTGGATTCAAACATTTTGTTAATTTTTGTTGATATATATATATATATGTATTGTTATCTCATTTTATTTATTTTTTTTGGTTTACATTCGTTTTTATCATATGTTTTGGTTCAAGTGTTGGTCGTTTAGCTCACAATTGAAGGCTACATAAGTTACAATAATCAAGATTTTATATATTTTGTATTGTGTTTGAAATTTACGGTGTATTTTATAATAATAATCATTAATAATAATTCAATATATAGTTTAGTTTAATAAATTTTTTATATGTTTTATTGTTGCGATTGGCTAGACTTGAGGGGTAGTGGACTAGCAATTGTTCTTTAGAAGCGATTATTCATTTAATATACTTATAATAATAATAATAATAATAAAAATGTTTTGAGCGAAAGGCACAGTCGGGTAACCACACAAACCCTACCAGCAGTTCAATTGATTGTGATTTTCATAAATAGTGACAATTTTTTGTTGTTTAAACAAATATGTGTGTGTTTTCTCCACGAAAAACTAAAGATAGATAGAGAGGGGGTTGGGTTTAACCATAATTTCTACGTGTAATATGAGTATTCATATTTGTTTTTTGTCTCTTTTTTTGTTTGTTTGTTTAATTAATTTGCTTGTAGTTGTAAATAAAGTGTGAATAATAAGGATATATAAATATAAAGGATTGGCGAACAACTATAGTTAAATAACTGATTCAATTTCTCTACATATCGTGTTATTACAATACTTTTTTGGGATCTAAATAAGTAAAAACTCGATAAAAACTAATTATAAAAAACTATTTAATAATTTATAGAATCGTCTAAAAAACATGTTTCATATAAATGTGACCCAAACTGCAGTTTTTAAAAATAAATATAACAAAAGTTAATTGTTTTTTTTTGTTTGTTTAAATCTATAACCTTATAATAAGTAGCGGTTTTTTTAAATATATATGCATTTGGATTATAAGTTGCCGTCAATTTAGAGTACATTTAGTTTTTTTTGTTAACAATCTCTTCGATCAATTATTCAAAACTTTTTCACGTAATTCTTTGAAACCTTTAGTACCGTCGGGACCTTTCGGATTACGGATGACAACAACTCGTGGTCCGCTTCCTTCCAGTTTCACTCGTGTCAATCGTTCGGGACGTGCGGTCACTGTTTCGCCGATCTTAACGATATTACAGGCCGACGATTTGCCAGTTCGGTGACTGTTTAGTATAATAAACTCAACCAAATCTCCCGGAACTAAGTTTGAGTTATTTTTTACTTCAGACATATGAAAGAATATATTGGTTTCGTTTTCATACGTTAGGAAACCGTAACTCGCTTTAACACATTCAACAGTTCCCTTAAAAAATCAAATCAAATGCCAATTAATAAATCATTCAAAATTTCAATCAATCAATCAAATAAATACCTGATGTTTGGCTCGAATGACCTGAACATTGACGGCCCGATATTTTTCGGCCATTGAATTGTAGCCGACTTGAAATTTGACGGCATCGCTCTTTTGGATAAACTCGTTGATGTCTTTAAGTGAAATCATACTGAACTCGTACTCAGTCTTCTCTCCACTGTCGCCACCGTTAACAGTCTGGTCGATCACAATACGTATTAAACCAGTGTATTCTTGTTGTTCCGGATTAAATGTACGAACATTGCGTACAACAATTCCCGATAACATTTCGGGCTGTATTTCATCGGCCGGTTGTTTGCGACTTGACTGAGCCCGTCGAACGGCTAGTGCTGTTAGTTTGCCATTTTTAAGGGTCGCGTTATACTCGACTAGTTGTCCCAATTCTACCGCATCGATATTACCATCATATACACTGTAATGAAAGAATAGTTCTCTCTGTCCATCTTCGGTCTCAATGAATCCAAATGTCTCTTTAAGGGCTACAACTAAACAAACAAATAAACAAATTTTTAATACAAAAAAATTACTAATGATATCTATAAGTGAAACATACCATAACCACGGTTTGAATATTTATTGCCATTTTTCTGATACATCGAACTTCTGGAGGCGTTCATAGATTGACTATTCTTTGAATCCTTTTTATTAACTTTAAGCACACTTTGTGTTTGCGAATCATAAGAGTTTTGATTGTTATCATCTGTCGGCGAGTCATTGATAACCACAGGCTTTAATGGCTGTTGAGTATAGTTGTGATCGTTTTCATAATAGGAAGCACTGCTCAATAAATCATTGTTTTCAGATACTGTGGTTCCGATATCTAATTGGGAAAGTATTTCGGACCACGAATTAGTTTTGGCAACTATTCCATCAGATCCATTGTATGTCTTATAATTATTCTTCTGGTCTGAATCCAAATGAATGCCATTTCTTTCATTTTCTAATTCAGTATTGAAGTCAATTAATGGAAATTCGTTTACTTTTCCAAAATCATCATTCAGTGAACCATTAAGTTTTATATTATCATCATATGGTGTATGATATGTAATACCATTTTGCCATTGTCTTTGTGTTGAACTCTTGCCATTATTGTCAACAATCAAATTTCTATATATAGTTCCGTCCGGAAGTAATCTTATGCGAAGAGCTTGAAGTCGACCAACAGATGAAGGGTCGGAGCCAACAGTGAACTCCACCTCATCGTTAAGTTTGAGGGAAGCATTTTGATCGAGAAGTTCACTAATTCTGAAGTAGACACGAGTGCCCTCACGATTCCAACATTTAATGAAACCGTAATAATCCTTAAAAAATAATTTAATTTAATTTTAGTAAAATTTAAATATATTTATTAAACTTATTTTAAACATTTTTTATTTACCTTAAGTGCGGCCACATATCCTTGTTCTCTATGTTCTTGAGTAACAGTAAATGTCTCCTCTAACAGATCAATATTAGATGCGTGTTGTAAGCTATCTCTACGGTCGGTAACAATTTGGAAAGTGACCAAATCATCGCACCGTAATGTATACTCTCCTCTGATATCTCGTTCACCATAAGTTATCTCTATTTCGTCTCCAGTTTTATTGTAAACAATACGACCGGGAAAGGGTTCAGATGGTGCTCCAGACTGTAGTGTTATTTGTGATCTGGAACTGGAATGAGTGTTCTGTCGGTCCAATGTTTTCACTATTCTTCCTGTGAACCATTCATCGGAGGTATCTTCAAAAACTACAGAACCAGGTGTTAGTTTATTGACATTTACAGCAACTTCTTTGTTGTTTCGGGTTTGGATACAGAACTCGACGTCATCTCCGAGCTGTAAATCTTTAAAGTCTTTACATTCGGATGAATGAAAAAATATCTAAAAAAGTTATTTAAAAAACATTTAATATTCATTTAGATAACCAATTAGTTAGTCAATCACATACTTCTTTGACAACATCTGAGCGCTCAATAAATCCAAACGACTCTTTTAAAGTGCAAATAACTCCCGAGTGTTTCTGTGGTGTGGGAATCTCAAGCCTGACGTGTCTGGCTCTTAAGTTACCACTTTTATCGGTTGCAATATAGAAAGTGACGCTATCTTTTGAATTTAGTTCCTCTTCGTCTTCGATGTCATCCTTAGCGAATGGTAGAAAAAAACATTCGCCTCTATTCTCATACGCAATTCTTCCCTCTCTTTCGGTGGTTAACTCTGTTGTTACAAAACCGCTAACTCTTTCGGTACTCAATTCTTCAGCCATAAATGCTTCGTTTGTTATTTTAATGACACTACTKGCTATCGGTTTGCCTGTTCTCCTATCGTATGTCATCTCAAACTCAACCGGATCTCCTAATTTCAAGTGCTCTATATTTCCTGAATATTGACTGAAAAAATATTGGAAATTAAAAAAATATAACAAAAATACAATTTAATTATCTGTTAATTAACTAATCAATACCTGTAATGAAAGAATAGTCGCGCCTGTCGTTCGCAACACTGTATGAATCCATATGAAGCCAACTGTATAGACAATAATAATAATTAAGACATTTCTGATCTACCGAATTGTTACAAATGTAAACTACTGACCAATTTTTCGACAATACCGGCCTCTCTGAAGCCTCCCTGTGWTGTTGTATTATTAGCTGATGAAGAATTAGTGGTGGAATCGTTGTTCGCATTTGTTTTCTTATTATTTGAAAATACATTATTAGACGATGATTCAAATGAACGACTGGTGCAGACATTTGCGAACACATTATTAGCATTTGCATTGTCGTCGGAGTGAGTCAAGTGATTCGTGTGATTGTTTGGCAACTGGAAGGCCTTTAAATCAAATTTTAAAAATCATTAATTAAATTAAATTCAAGTTTAATAGTCAACAATAATGGTTATACCTTCCACTGTGGACTAGCCATAGTCCAGATATATCGCAATGTATCTCACAGTCAGTTTCAATAAAATAAAAATTATTTAAAATGTGTTTCTTTTTTTTAAGTCAACTCTTTAGCGGACTTGTGATTTGTAGAGATTATGATTATTATTACAATTATTAATACAATTCAATGAAGTTATTATTATTATTATTATTATTATTATTATTATTACAATATATGACAATCATATCACATCATTAGTAAATATGATATCATATAATAATATAGAGGTTTATATCAAAAAGTGTTTGATGTAAACAATGGCCCAAATTATTTGACTAATTATGAGTTTCTTGTTAATTGTTGGATACTTTTTGTTACTTTAGTTTCAAATATCTTTTTTAATATATTAAAAACGTTTTATGATTTTGCTTTCAAATTAAAAAAAAACTTAAAAATAATATAATAATAACCATAAAAAATATTATTTTCTTGCTTTTTGTTAAGAGCTATTACAGTACAGTAGTTTCGAGCGTTTCCTTTCAATATATATATAAATATTTAATTTTCGTGTCAAACGATTAGATGAGACTTTTTTTTCTTTCAAGAGGTTTGTATTATTATTGCCAAAAGTGTTACTCTTAAAAAACAATTGTAATTAATTAACTATTAATTTAATTTTTATCATTTGTTTAGTAGTAGTAGTAGTAGTAGTAGTTGTTGTAGTATTAGTTGTGTGTATTTGTTTAGCTGAGCATTAATCTCGCGTTTTCTCTATTATTTGTTTTCGTGTTTTTTCTTTGACTTTTGTGTTGATTATCGCTTTACTTGGTTTTCACACTTTGTTTGTTTGTTTTCTTCTTTTTCTTCTTCTTCTGTCTTATTCTGTTGTTATCTTTACTGATGTTTCGCTTTACTTCTTTGATGTTAAATGGCTAACAAACAAACAAACAAAAAACATTATGACATCAATTAGTCAATTATTAAGACAAAACAAATGGTTAAACAATTATAATTCAATGAATGACAATCCAAGACATCATCGACATCAATGGTCAGACAATACCAACAATATTGTATGTATCACTCAAACTGATTCATCACTTAATTTCAATGCTATTAAAATAATATAAACTACGGATCAGTGGCCACAATAAGTGGCGGTCAATGAGTGGTCAATGTTGTCATCGATTGTGTCATTCATTTATTAACTGTTAGACCGATTGCTAAACCAATACATACCTCGAACTTAGGGCACACTTAACGGCACTTTAACTGTAGTTATGCCGCCATTTCTAATACACTCAACACTGTCGACACACAACACTGTACAACACTAGCGCCGAATCCATACATTCAGTTCAATTCAATGCATTCAATGCCAGTCTCTCTCTCTCTCTCTATTGTGTGCTTTGTGTGTATTATTCAATACGACTAACTTGTAAATAATATTGAATATTACAGACAAACTTAGTTCACATAATAATAATAAACATAAAATTCGTCACTAAATTCAAAATACATTTTATATTTATATTTGTCGTAAGTTTTGGTCAAAAAAAACTAAAACAGTATTTGTATTATAAAAATGTGTATAAAAATTAGTGTAAATATTTTAAAACACGATTTACTGTATATTTCATGACATGTGCTTTGGATAAAAACATATCATTAATAATATAATTATTATTATTGTCTTCATTTGATGCCAATTGTGTCAAACAATTAATTATTGAAATCATAAAGTTAACAAAATAGCGGTCAAAATGAAGAATAAAAATAACAACAGAAAAATAAAAGAAGAAGAAGAAGTGGAAGAAGTAGAAGAAGATGATGACAGCGACGATGAAAGTATGGAGTTTAGTGAACGAAGAAGCGATAAAAAACCAATTGGTGGTAATATGATGTCGACAAACAAAATGTCTTTAAATAGCAGAGAAACTAATCCAAAGAAACCATTGGATGACGCATCTGAAGAAAGAACTATATTTATTAGAAATCTTTCGTTTGAAACCACCGGCGAAACTCTCAATGAATTTATGCAAACATTTGGCGAAACATTGTATTGCAAGTTATGTATCGATCGGATGACCGAACACTCGAAGGGAACAGCATTTGTCAAGTTTAAGAACAAAGAGGACGCCGATCGGTGTCTGGAATCGTCATCGGCTGACGATAATGACATGTATTTAGATGGTCGACAACTTTTTATGTCGATGGCTGTCACCAGAAACAAACTTAAGGACATTCAGGAAAAGCGATCCGAAAAGGATAGAGATAAACGAAATCTTTATTTAGCCAAAGAAGGTCTCATATATCCGGAATCAACTGCGGCTGAAGGCGTATCACAATCTGATCTCAAAAAACGATTAGCGGTTTGTATAAATTTAAAGATTGTTTTAATTCAGTTGTCATTGAAAATGTTGTATTAATAATATTTATTATTATAATAAAGTTGGAAACTCGTAAACGAAAAATGCTTCAAAATAATCACCATTTTGTTTCCGATACGCGACTCTGTGTCCATAATCTTCCTCTTGATTGCGATAACAAGAAATTGAGAAATATTTTTGTTGAGGCAGTCAGTGATAAATCAGCGAAGATAACTGAGGTATAGTTATAACTAAAGTTATTAATTATTGTTATTATTTTTTGTGATAATCTTTAGTGTAGAGTAATGTACGACAAGAAGAAAAATGAGAAGAAATTCGGTAAATCAAAGGGATTTGCTTTTGTTGAGTTGAGTCAACACATTCACGCACTCAAGTGTTTAAGACAATTGAATAATAATCCCAACATATTTACACCACAAAAGCGACCAATTGTTGAATTTTCTATTGAAAATAAAGTGGCGTTAAATAAGAAGAAACACCGAATGGAAAAACAGAAAAATAATTTGTCAAAGACTGTAGARAACAATGAGAAGACTAATAATAATAAGAATAATAATAAGAATAATAATAATAATAATAATAAGAATAATAATAATAATAATAAGAAGACTAATAATAATAACAATAATAAACAAGAAGACAATAAGCAAAAGAGTAACGAAAAGAAAGTTAAACAACAAAAGCGTAAAGAAGTGGACAATTCCGAAGAGTTACCCGAAGAGGACATCGATTACGGCGGACTTATGTCCCGACCMAACAAACAAAATGAAAAAATTAAAACACCGAAAGTGAATAAAAAGTTGGGAGAAATGCAAAAACAATTGAAAATTAGGAAAAAACTATTAAAGAAGGATAAGATTAAAACRGAAAACAAATTGAGACACAAACAGAAATTAGAGAAAAGAAAAACTAATAAAAATGAAACAAAAGAAATACAAGACTTACATGACTTGCATTACAGGAAAAGAAAGAATATATTCAAAGTTAGTGACAATAATAATAATAATAAACATATTGTTGTTTCTAAACCTAATAAACGAGTTAAATGGTATATACAATAAATTTGTAATATATTTMTTATTTTTTAGATTTATTTGTTAAATATATTTTGTTTTTTAAATAAATTAAAAAATTGATTAATAAATAAATTTGAAATTATAARCTTATTAGTGATTAKTAATATATGCTTATTGTGCAGTATATCAAACATTGTGGTTGTAATGTATTGAATATTCAAATTTCCTATAGAAATAGAGACATCAATTTTAACTGTTTATCCGTTAATTTGTAAATTATAATAATTTCTAAAATATTATTAATAAATTAACAAAATTATTGATTACAAATAATTTAATTTTGCAAATAATAATGTTTAAAAATATATAATTGTTTTCTATTTATTATTTACAGCAATAAAATGTGTATTTAAATTATAAATATATTAACAGAAAAAGTAAAGTATTGTTAAGTGAAGCCATTTGGCAACTCTACTGTCTCTACATATAATGGTTGCCATAGTATTGTCAGATGAGTTACATAATTGTTGTATTGCTATAACCGTGTAATACATGTCAACAACAGTTTGACAATTATTTTGTTGTCAATAATGGGTATAACGTCGAGCACAGCGACCAAACCATCTAATGACCACTCGGTGACCGACGACCGGCCACAAGCACTGCCGTCGGTCACCACAAATGACACGCCAAACGACAACAGCCACGAGTTGGCGGTCGTCACACAAAGCGAGGGAAAAACAACTGAAACCATTGATGAAGATATTGAGCGCCAAAACGGAGACTCATTTGTTGACAAAGTAATTGTAGAAAATATGGATCTCAAGAGTGATAGTGACCAACAATCGATGATCACCGACGATGACACAGATGTCAATGGTAGTGAACAACTAAAGGATTTAACTAAAATTAAGACCAAAGTTAAAAAATCATCGCCGACTTCACTGAAGACTAAAAAATCGCCGAAAGGCTCGAAAAAGTCGAAGTTATCGCCGAAGACAGAGTATTCGCCTAAAGTATTAAAGACACCAAAGAGTGTTAAATCAGTGAAGGAGTTGAAAAAGACTCCGAAAACTCCAAAATCGCCGAAAATTAAAAAATCACCGAAAACTCAGAAAACACCGAATACTTCAAAAACGCCGAAAATTCAAAAATCGCCAAAAATTCAAAAATCGCCGAAAACACTGAAAACTTCAAAATCATTGAAAAATTTAAAAATTCCGAAAACAAGTGAATCGCCAAAAATTTCGAAGAAGACATCAAAGTCAGCTAATTCTTTAAAGTCACAGAAAAGAGCAAAATCTCCGAAAACACCGAAGATTTCAAAGGATGTCGACGACAATACTCTTGAAAATTTRCCGAAAGCTGACATCAAAAGTCCCGATCGTTTCAAATGTAGTGAATGTGACCGCTATTTGTCATCGGAGACTGCGCTCGAGACACACGTAAATAGAGATCACAGAAACTGCAAACCATTCACTTGTAATGAGTGCAGTGAAGAGTTTTTTGCCAACTTATCATTACTCAATCATTTGTCACAAAAACATAAGATCCCATCGTTTGCTTGCGAAGAGTGCGACTACAAAGGTTGGACTAAACAGCATCTCATCCAACATAAAGTCAAACACTCTACCGATCGGCCATTTGTTTGCAATTACGATGACTGCGATCAATCATTCAAACGCAAAGACCTACTGCTCCGACACCAGACACAGATTCATGAGAATCGCCGAAAGTCCACCTCATGAGACCATCCATTGAATTCATTTCATATGTTTACACACCTGTAGTTAAGTAAAAACATTTGAAAACCTTCATCTCATTAAACAAAATAAAATAATAATCAATGGATTATTAATTGACATTATTTTGAATTACATTTTATTTTGAAATCAAATTTCTTAGATTTATATTAACATACTCTACATATATTATTTGACTTTATTTTAATGATAATTATTTTTACAATTTTAAATCTATTGAATTATTTTAAATGCAAATTGTTATTCTCATATATTTAATATAACTTATTTGAATTAATAATGAATTTCATAACATTATTTTTATTATTCACATTTTATTTTAGCACAATATTTATTTTTAAAGTTTGACATATAATTTAATAACAATCATTTTAAGTTCATATTATCAAAATTTTCATGTTTTGTTTAATTTTAATTAAAAAATACAGTATTATCTTTAAAAATAAAGTTGTTAATTTGTTTAAATAATTAAAGCTCAATAAAATGTTTGATTGACTCCTTTAATAAACGATTATTTTCATTGTTTTTCATATTTACATTATACATGTATTTATCGGTAATAAGCAAATATATATATATATATGTATAATGAGATAAMTTATTTGATATTAATATACAATTTAATAGATCTAGAATTCAAARGTAAGTATTGTATGTAAGCATTAATTATACGACTAAATCAATTGTAAAACCATAAGAAATTATRYRAATTTCCTTCTAATAGAAATTGTTTTGTCACTAAGTTTTCAAAYTATTCTTATTATTCAAGTTTTTTGTACGTCTATAACAGTTCCCACCTTTTTTAGAGACAGAGTAAATAATTTTAGTAAAGTATAACTAAAATCAAATTAAATTTTTATACAAAATATTTATTCTATTAAAATAATAAATTACTAAAATATTTTATAATATATTATATATATTGTAATTTTTAAATGATTTTCTATATTTATATCTTAATATGTTTTTTGTGTTGAAAATTTTTGTGGTCATTATAAGGTTTGGTATATCAAAAACTGTTTACATATATATAAATTTAGAATCAATATAAATAATTAAATTTTTTGACCCCCACTCAGACCACCCGCCCATTATTATTAAAATATTGGAGAGAATTCTATATATTATTTATTTTTTCTACATATATATTATTTGTAATAATAAAAATAATAACAAAAATAGATGATAAATATTTTTAAAATTTATGTATAATTTTAATATGTTATTATAAATTTTATAAAAWTAAATATAAAAATAAATTTATTTAAWTAAATTATATGCTAAAATAAAAGTTATCAACGTTGAAAATCAATATTTTTTTTAATGGGCGGGTGGTCTGAGGGGGTGTAATATATTACAGTATGTAATCACTAATATTATACTAATACGAATACACTAATTATTTGTGAATTTTTTCAATATAGCAATTGTTTGGTCACTGATTTCAAAATTTTCAAATTACCGGTAAATTAATTTTATTGTTGTTTTTTTGTGGACGTCTTGTATAACTTGTAAAATGTTTTTATACAACTTTAATAATTATTTGCTAAAAAAACGTATCATTTTTCAAAACGATTTTATATAAGATTATATATCTGTTAATTGTGTACATTGTATAGCATTTAATTAATTTTATTCACAAATCGTCTATAATTTTATAAGTTTTTAAAAGTAGACTTCAATTGATTGACAGTCAGTGTATATAATATGTATTGACTTGACGTGAGATCACGTGAACTGATGTTTGTTTGTATACATTGTATCGCATATTGACTTCATTGACAGCAAACCATTGAATTGATATCAACGATGAGTTGGTGTCCGCGGGAACGCAACTATCGGACAGAACTGACTACCAAGTATTGCACCGCCAAAGAGGTGACCGATCATCCATTGAAGTCAATAACTGTTAGTCAAAAAGAGACCAAAAAGTTAACGACACAGTCATCGGTCGCCAAGAAAACTGTGAAAACAAATCACGACTTGAAGCCAACCACCACTTCTTGGAATGGTTTGGATCCGCTGTCGATGGCTTTGAGTATGCAGAGCACTGTCGATGACAATCCATTAGAGACAACTGGTGTTGGATCAGTCAAAGAGAACCAAACGACGAGCGATTTTATCGGCGATGACTTCGAGAACTGGTCGTCCATTAAGAGCTCTATACTCAACAAATACACGACTTCTGAGAGACTATCCATTAAGACATCATTTCTTATGGTGAGCGCCACCGGTTCGACCATCAGTTCGAGTACTGTCCGCAGTGCAGCTAACACATCGGTGGCCGATAAAGTGCGCCACCGTTTGGAACAATTGGATGACTTTGAAGAAGGATCCGTCAAAGAGATGCTTAATCTGACACAAACTGAATACGTTAACCGAATCGATGAACTTAATGTCACTCTTCATGAGTCGTGGAATTCTGACCAAAGAGTCAAAGCACTGAAGATTGTCATCCAATGTTCGAAACTTTTAGCCGATATATCTGTGATTCAATTTTATCCGTCAAAGTATGTACTTATCACCGATATTTTGGACAATTTTGGGACATTAGTTTACAACAGAATTTACACGAARGCGGGATCCACTGTAACGGCCATAGAATCGGCCCGCGAGACGTGTCGTAATTGGTTTTACAAAATTGCTTCCGTCCGCGAATTGATTCCCCGATTCTATGTCGAGACCGCTATCCTMAAAGTCTACGGCTTTTTAATTAATAAGAAAGATATTGACACTGAGTATGAAAGAGCTCTGAAACGGCTGACAAAAATGATTCGCGGAATCGGCGATCCATTGGTCGGAGTGTACGCCAGAGCCTATCTCTGCAGAATCACTGTCCAAATTGCACCGCAATCTAAGTTCATATTTCAAGACAACTTTAATGATTTTCTACTATCACTTAAGCAGGTATTCAATTAAATTTATTAGAAAATAATTTATAAATTGTTTATAATTACTATTTAATTGACATTTTATTGACAGTTATCGCCGACATTTGTAGAACAGACAATACAAGAACAACATATCGATCATTCCGTTTATTACTTGTTATACAGTCCAGCATTAGATTGGATTGTCTATTGTCTGGCATACAAAGCGCCAACAGATCTATTAATTGAAACAATTAGACAATTTGAAGACAACTTTATCTTTAGTCTTGACGACAATTGTTCAGCTCTTATATTAAATTCATTGCTTACTTGTTTTCCGGCGCATCTGATAACCACTAAAGCATTGGATTTTCTTGAGCTAATTAAACGAGTCAATAGAGATAAGACAGCGTCTTCTACTGGAAGTGTAGCAAATGGTGTCCAATCATTATCTTATTATCCGAAATATAATTTAATCAGAAACTTAGGCAACGCTTTGATATCAAAACATAATGTTTTGCTTGAGTTGGAAGACGAAGAAAAACTTAAAATACTGAACGAAATTTGGAAATTAATGAATAAATTGAAACAAAATAACGAATATATGGCTTGTGTTGAGGTTTGGATTGAGTTTGTTGTCAAACATTTTACACTCGAAGAGATCAATACATTATTGGGTGAAATAATTAAACGAATGCAACCAAACCGTGCCTTTGAACAACATTACAGTCAATTAGTTGGTTTGATGTCAAAAGTGGTTACTTTGAGTTCAAACCTTGATTTCGGTGCCCTATTTTCTATGAATAACTTTATGCCATTTTTGGATTTATTACAAAAAGAAACGGTAAAAGTTGAGGCCTGTAAAGCCATTGTCGAGTCATTCATCAAAAATATAAATAATTGCAGCGATTTATTTGATGAAAGTGTTGTCACCACATCAGATCCCGTAATACTTAACTCAATGACCTATCTTTGTAAAGCACTGCACGACTCAGTCAGTGCACTGACTCTTGAGGACGAGAGAAGACAAATTTCTTCATTAGTGACATCATTTCTAAAACACGTATCATTTAGTCGCGACTTTGAGGCCGAACTCAACTTTTATGTGGACTCGAGAGCCAACTTCTGTAATCTTGAGACAGTTCTCTGTTTTTTAGTCCAAAGAGTCAATACTTTAGCGATGGAAACTCGACGAATAGTTAAAGGATTTCACACCAAGAAAACGACTTCATTTGTGAGGGCATGTATTGCCTACTCCTATATAACCATTCCATCACTCGATGACGTGATATTACGTCTTCAGTTATATCTATCCAGTAGTCATGTGTCACTAATCAACGGTTGTTTACCACAAACTGATTCATTTCTTAAACAAGCCATCACTTTAATACAACAATTGCCGCAACAAATCGAGTCGAGTGACGGCCGACCAAAATCTACTGAACCATTCTTGTTGTCATATGTTTCACAATTGTTATCATTTCTTCTATTAGTTCCCGTAAGTATTATAGTTTATATCAAAAATCAAATATTGAAGTTTATCTAATAAAAAGTAATGTATTATTGATTTTTAGGATAATCCAGACACTCCCGAACCATTGTATTTGTTTAAAGGCTTATTAAATGTGATAAATGAAAGACAATTTGATTCAAATTTCGATACAAAAGCATATATTTTAATGAATTTCTTGAATTTTCTATCGACGGCATCACAAGAAACATATCCCTATCACATAAATAAAGGTTTTATTTAACAGAAAAAAATATTATTTAAAAAAATAATTTTTAATAAATTTTAATAATATTCAGTTGATTCAAACGACACATTATATGGTAATGACAGTCAATTTATGGATCAAATAGATGTCTTGTGTTCATCAGTTCTTAACGATCTTTTAGATTATTTCAAACAATTGGGTGACGAACGGGTAAATTAATTGATTGATGTTTTTAAAAAACATTTCTATAATATGATTATCATTTTAAAGCAATACAAGAGACAATCATCCTTAGCATTGGAACTAATCTGTCGAATCGTGAGTCACTCACGAGTAGATGAAATGTATAAATTGGTGATCAATTTGTGGCAATTGTCCAAAAAGAATTGTTCGCCGGATACTAAACGAGCGGTCAGTTTATAATAAATATTTGAATTTAACATTTAATTGATAACTAAATTTCTTAATCAATCAATCAAACAGAATATAGCTTTGAATCATTTGAAACATAAGTCAAACCAATGGTCTAATCAGTCACTCATTGAATTGACAGCAAAATTAGAAAAATTATAATATTATCAATCAATAGAAATGGCAATAAATTAATGTTACAAAAAAATAACTAATTATATGACCAAAATATATATTTATTTAAAATAAAGTTTATATTAATATAATATAATAATTTTAATATAAGTTGTAATACATTTAATTATTTATTTTATATTTATATGATTTATTGTTTTTACAAATGTATTGTTATTTTGTATGACTTCTACATTCTGTCATATTTTAGTCTTCACATTGATTTGAATCAAACTTGTGGTTCATATGATGTCAATGACATYACTTATCAGTCAATTAATGTATAATTAATAATACATTTTGATTGTTATTTTTAATTAAAAAATAACGTAATATTAAAAACTTTAATAATTTGTATTTCAATACAATTGATGTAAACATTGTTGACGTTCTTTACAAGCGATCCATTGGTTGTATTGTTTGATAACTTTTTTTCGCTTTTATTACTTATTAACCAAACAATCGATATATTTATCATATTATTTGTCACAAACTAACCGTCGGTTTGGTTCAGATATTATTGAAGGTTATAAGGGATCAGTTGAAAGTGATGGCAACATTAAGACAGACACCGTTGACTTGCAGTGGACACACCCGACCGGTAGTCCACTTGCAGTTCAGTCCGATCACTGCCAGCGGCTCTTATATGATTTCTGCCTCTAAAGGTATTTGATTATCACCATAATTAGGTCACATTTATATTATGATATGTTATGATGAATATAACAATCAATGTATTCAACAGATGGTAAGCCAATGCTTCGCAAGGGAGAGACCGGTGACTGGATCGGCACTTTCGAGGGACATAAAGGTGATGACCATTGAAACAGTTTATTATTAAAGTAAATAATATCTGTTATTATTGTCGACTACAGGAGCCGTATGGGGAGTAGCGCTGTCCAGTGATATTCAACGTGCGGCCACCGGTGCCGCCGATTTCTGTGCTAAAGTATGTTTTATTTTCGGTATATTGTTTTCTTTTGAAACATTGATTTGATTTATTGAATATTGATATTACAAGATATGGGACGCCGTTACCGGTCAAGAGTTGCATACCTTAAGTCACGCACATATCGTTAAAACTGTTGATTTCTCCAACGATGACAAGTTTCTGGCGACCGGTAGTAACGATAAATTGATTCGCATCTATGATCTCAACAAAATTGATTCAGGTTTGACTTGTTTTACTTGCTATAAAACTGGATCAATCAATGTAATTATCAATAGATCCGATGACAATCAATGGTCACACATCATCYATACGTCATGTTTTATTTACCAATAACTCACAATTATTGATCAGCGCTTCCGAAGACAAAACCGTTCGTTTCTGGGATAAGAATACTAAAGAGGAGATTAAGAAACTCGAGTTCAATACCATTCCGTATAGTATTGAATTGTCAAGAGATTCAAAAATGTTATCTATTTGTTACGGAAATAATGTCATGTTTTATGACATGGAATCCATGAGTCAGCTCAAGGAGTTTAAGATACCGACACACGTTTTGTCGGCAACACTACATCCCGATAAAAGTGTATTTGTTTGCGGCGGCGAAGACTTCAAAATGTATAAATACGACTATAATAGTGGCAGTGAATTAGGTTATTGTTATTATTATTATTATTATTATTAGTCATAAACTAATTACCACAAAATTTGTCATAATTTTGCTAAATATGTTTCATTGTTATTTAGAATCATTTAAAGGCCATTTCGGTGGTGTCCATTGTGTCCGTTTCTCGCCCGACGGAGAACTGTACGCGAGTGGCAGTGAAGACGGGACTCTTCGTCTTTGGCAAACAACTGTCGGCAAAACATACGGTCTCTGGAAATGTGTTAATAACGATGAAAATGATTTAAATAATGAAAATAATATAAACATTGAAAATCATAATATTTCTAATAATTAACTTTTGTTTCGTTATTTGTATTAAAAACAAAATTTAATAAATTATTTCTAATTTTTGAAAAAAATATTATTTTATTCAATTATTTTACTTTATAAATATTACAATAAATATAATTCTATAAAAAATATGATGAAATGTTTTATTGTTTATTTTAATGAAATAAATTATTATTAAGACTTAATTATAATTGTAAATATTATTAATAATAATATAATGTTAGTATTTCAAATATCATTGGTAATTTTATTGATAAACAATATCTCATGAATATAACAGTATATTATTTCAAGTATGACTATATGATACATAGTATTTTTTTTAAATACAATTATTCAATAAATTTACGCCAATTTTCTGTGTTAATGCATATACAGTATGTTTTATGTAAACAAAATTTCTTAAAATAACTAAAAATATGATTTTTTTATCGATTAATCAAATTTGTGAGTTTTTAATTTAATTTAATGTTTTTCTATCAAGAAATATATATAGAATTTTGTAAATAAAAAAATCAATTAACTTAATACTACTGTACATATATAGCAATATATTTAAAAAGCAAACAAGTATTATTAWTATTAATATTGCCGTAAATTTATAACAATCATTATATTTATAACATTTAGAAYAACTTTTAATTGCATTATTAAAAATTTATAAAATATTCAGTATATTGTAATTTTATGTTTTTTAAATTAGAGATATATAATAATTAGTTATATAAATTATCTATACTAAAATAATGATTAATTATATTTTTGTCTTAATCTATTTAATTATATATAATAATAATAATAATATATTATTTATATAAATATGTTGTTAGATTTATGTTATACTTATAAACACCTAAAAACATAATAATGACATTATAAGTCATCTGAGATGACATATAAATTCAAAAAAGTTGTTTTTTTGTCGGTGTTGTCAATATATTGATTTGGTTGCTATAGATCTCAGTTATTGTTTTATATATCGTATATATCTGAATGTAAATTTCGTTTACATATTTAAATATATTTTTATTAGTAATTTTAAATCTAAATATTAGAAAGTTTATGAATATTTAAAAATGTGTTTATGATTAATGTAATTAAATTTTGTTGTTTTTTCTATAAATTGTTTGTTCGCAAAATTTTCATTATATATATATATATATATATATATATATATAAATATTTTTATATTCAATATACAAGTTTACAAAATTCTAACAAATTTTTGAAATTATAAAATCAGCATAAAATGTAAAGTTTTTAATTTTATTAATCTAATATTTTATTTTATTAACGTTTACTATATTTGTTTTATAGACAATAAACATCTCAATCTAAACAAGCTACAATATTTGTTTTATCCAGTACAGGTAATATTTAGATATATATATATACTTATAATTTAATAATAGAATTTTTATTATTTAATTTTATTGTTTGCTTTTGTAATATTAACGATAATATTTATTTTGTCAAAAAAATTTTGTTTGATATTTAGGAAAAAATTAYAAATAGCTAAAAAAATACTATTTTAAAAAATATTAATCTTTAAAAAACTAAAATGTTATTAATATTGCTAAGTTTGACATTATCTTTCTATAACTTTAATTTTAATTATCTATAAATAATATTTATTATTTTTTATGTCATCAATACTTTGATTATTATATTCGTGATACTTAATTAAATTACAGCAATTATTTTGTTATATGATTTTAATTATGTCAATCAAATAATGAATTTTATTAATATTAAATATGAAAAATGTCAACTGTTGTAAATAATTAATTGACTATTTAATGATTTTTCTAATAGTAACAACTATTATATATTTATATATATATATATATATWTTTATATTATGCATAAAAGTACCATTTAATACCATTTTATTTTTAATATGGTTATATAAGTGTTGCTATGTTAGGATATGATAAAACCTTATTATAACATTTAAACTATATAAAAAACTAAAAAACTAATTTATATAAAGTATTGATTAATTTGTTTTTTATTTTAATTTATTACCATATTATTATTATTATATTTTATATCTTACATTGTACTATATTAAACGATATTTTAAGAGTTTTTAATATTTACAATTTACAGTATATTAAATTTGCTACTCATTTAATATTATTAAAGTAAGTGATATAATTTTATAAATTATAAATTTAAATTTTCTATTGTTTAAATATTTTTGATTGATTGATTAGAAAATTGTCACAAAATATATAAATTGATATATTATAAATATAAGTGATATACACAACAAAAAATCATTAATAATAGTCTTATTATGCTTGAATATCTTTTATGAAAAGCTAATAATTTATTTATAACTGTTAATATTAAAATCATCTATAATATAATCTAGAATATCATATGTATGATAATAATATTATATAAATTAGTTCAATAATGATTTTTATTAGCATTTATTTAAAAGTTTCCGATATAATTAACTATTGCTGTATCATATAATATATTTTCAAATAATTAATATTTGAATTTATAAATTAATTAATAATATACTGTATTAGATTATATGATGAGTCAGTATTTAAATATAAAATTAATGCCATAATCTAGAATTAATAATTTAATTTGTTTGCACAATTTTTATTTTTGAATTATTAMTTACAATTATTAAGCACAACTGTTGATCTTATAAATAAATCAATAAAACCGGATATTTCAATATCAATATCAAAACAAACATATATAAAATTAATTTAAATTACATGAATGCCTGATGTAATACTGTAGTTAATGTGAAGTCAACCATCAATTTGACCACTAGTTGACAAACTAATTCGTTATAATTATATACTCATTAAAAAATGAGATTTTAAAAAATTAATTAGTTATTAAAGATCGTTGTTATATATTAAAGATTGTATACAATTTTATATGTAATTAGAGATGGGCAAATAGAAAGTTTCTAATAAATTTCCCTGAGAAAGTTTCTAGAAAGTTTCTCAAGAATAAATTTCTATAGAAATTTAACTTTTTTGTTATACTATGGGATCCCCATATCTATAGATATTGTAAAACTATAAATATATTAATGAAACACTACTATACATATAATATTATACTATATAATGTAGATTACTGTATAATACTATATTATACAAATGTACCTATATAAATAATTATAATTTTTTAATAATAATAAGTTTTGTAAAATTTTATTCACTATTTTATTATATCATAGTTTAATATAATTAAATAAATAAATTTTTTACTTTAATTAATAATTAAAATACTAATACTAATATTTAAATATTACTTATAAAAACAATGTTAAAGATAAAAAATATCGAGAAAACAAAATTAACCATGGGGATCCCATAAATAGAAATTTCTTTTAGAAACTATATATATATAACACTAATATATATATAAATTATCTTTTTTTAAAAAAAATCATTTTACAGATAAAATAGTACATCATTTTACACTTGTTTTTAATTTATACTAAAAAAGTGTTATTTTGAACAATTTATAATAAATGCATACAATGAATGATCAAATAAATCAAATAGATAATTATCATATATATATATAATTAAAAGTAAAATTGCAATTTTAAATGTCAAACTTCTTTAAGACTCATTTATTAGACTTAACTTATATTATTAGAAATGTTTAATTTTATATTTTTATAATACATTGGTTTTAAATTTAAGTAACTTATTAACCACATCATCACCACAAGCATTAATGATGGCTTTAAGTATATCTTTTGACTAAAATTTGMTTTTATTTACTAAAAAACTACTTTAAAATTGTATAGAAAACTTGATTACATGTAATATCACTTTAAAGCAATGTTTGTTGTAATTGACAATAAAATAGTAATGTAAGTGATTTTTATTAATAGTAAGAAATAGTAAAGTATGGCAATTAAATTCATTGATTATAATCAACATTAATGATTAAATTGTTGATTAAATGCAACAAATTTTCAATAAAAACATTTTTATGGACAAGTCTTTTAATAATGAAAATGACTTCAATCTCTTTAATATAGTCAAGAGTTTAGTGTAGACTCTTGACTATATTAAAGACAGTGACTGTAGAGTCTATAATATATATATCAGGGTTAAGCAAGGGGGAGGTTAGAGGGTAAGGCCAAAATGACCTCCCCTAAAATTTAGTTAAAGTTTAAGATTTATTAATTAAAAAAATATTTTGAGAAATAATGGAATTTATGAAAAATTGTCGTTTAAAAATGCACTTAAAGTCTACACCCACTCCATACCCCCAACATTTTTCGAGATTTTTGTCGCTTGACCCCCCCCCCTTATAATTTACTTCCTCTAAAATCCAAAATCTAGCTTAATCCTCATATATATATATATATATAGTTATAATTTAGTCTTTTAATTTATATTTTTACAATCTTATTGATGGATCAGACTATTAGTTGACCAGACATTAATAATTTAATTTGTTATAACAATTATGATTTTTTTAAATATGTAGTTATATGTGAAATGTAAATATAACTTTTCTAAAATAAATTATAAATTTTTAATTATTAGTATAACATCTAATTTAATATTCTCTGTTCGTTTCAAAAAAATATAAGTACAGTATATATGAAATAAATATTTTAATTATTAAATGCTATATTTTTATAAAAATTCTTATTATTAATTTTTTTTTATTATATTTAGTTTATAATATTTTATTATAAATATTATCACCAAATGTAAAATTATTTAAGTAATTTTTTTTTGTATAAATTTGAAATTATTTAATTTTTTTATAAAGTTGATACTAATAAGCTTTAGTTTGCTGTAACCAGATATCAATGTTGTCTTAGCTGTCAATCATAACTTGAAATGTCTGTAACGCATATTTATAAATTATAATACAATGTATAATAAATATATTATAAATGTTTTTTTTATAACCAAACTAAAGTTAAACTATTATATTTTGATTGAAACTAATTTTGTTAATAATAGTTTACAATTGAATGGTAATTAACGGCAAGTATGGGCTCATTTGAGGGTCATTTACTTCCCGGCACTTTCTTCTTATTGTTTGGCATTTGGTGGACAGTAGTCATATTTGACCGATACTTTCGGTCACTCGTCAACTCGGCGCTAACCAAACGGTCGCAAGTGTTTAAATGTCGTACCAGTTATACGAAATACGAGTCCTATATTAAGGTATTTTATATATTATTACAGTATATAAAATTTTTATTATATATAACATAATATTTTTTTTTATTTGAATAAATTTTATATTAATATTCTATATTTTTTTGATAAATTGCTGTAATAATTGCTAACATAAATCATTTTTATCCATATTCTAGATAATATCAACCATTATTGGCATCGTATTGGAGTATTGGACGGCTTTAGATAAAAATTATCGATTCACACACACTGGTGATTGTTATCTATATTTTTAAAAATAATTATTATTGACTTTTAAATACAGTATATAGTATTTAAATATAAAATTTAAATATATATTTAATATTCTATTAAAAAATTACAGGCAATGCTCAACATATAACTATGTATTTGTTTTTTCTAATTAATGGTAAATATTTAAATATAACAACAAATATTATTAAACTTTTTATAAATTATTAATTTTATTAAAAGGTATTATTGAACTAATGATACACAATGGCTATCCATTGCCAAAAGGTTGCGATTATCTGTCACTATCTTTGGCTATCTTTGCTGAGGGTTTGCTCTTTTATTTTCATCTTCACGGAAGGTTATCATCACTGATCTCTTTGAATGACTAATAAAAATATATAAATTATTGAATATTAATTTTTATTGTATCCAAACTCCAATTGTCCCAAAACAGGACATCACTTGACATTCACGTTCACACACTACTCATAATTAGCATAATATTATCATTGATATCAGTATTGATTGAATGGATATATCGCTATCATTTCCTATCGGCCTTTTGCCGCACAGTCTGTACTCTATTGCAGGGCTTCTGGTTCTATACGGTCGGCGCTCTCATTATAAATAATATCAAATATATATATATATATATATATTATAAATTACACAATTAAAGCATTAATAAATTATTAATTACATTTTTTAGGTCGGTTTCATACTATACCCACCTTTCTCTCAGAGCCCTGTGGGTGAAAGTCACGGCAAACAAATGCTTATTACTGTTAGTTTGGATTTTAATTTAAAATTTTTCTCTAAAAATATAATATTGATTATTATTATTATTATCATATAATATACTACATATAATATGAAACGATTTTTTAGGCACTGTTTTGTTGGGAAATCGCCGCTATTATAGTGTTGATGTCTTTTATTGGATCTGTCTTTTACTGCAAGAATCGCAAGATTTTGCAAACCAATGAATATTCTGTTAATTATAGGTTATGTGAATCTAATGTAGACTTTAAATGTCTCGTCAATGATACCAATGATAAGGATTTCAATGAAAATGAATCGCATAAACTCAGTAGTAATGGCATAAAGTCATCAATTAATCACAAGTATTCAACTATTGTCACATCGGATGATGAGATCTGAACGCATAATTTAAATCGTTTTATTATTTGTATATTTTTTGTTGTTATTTAAAATTATAATTATTAAATGTCTAATTTAACAAGCAATTTGTGTGTTTCAATTTAATTTATTGTTAGTAATATAATAATTATGTTTGAAAGTAATATATATGGTATGATATATGGCAGCTCATAAACTCTAGGATTATCCATCAATTGATAGTTCATTCATACAGCTATTCATATGAAGGTAACAAAAACCCGTAGCTGTGTATACAATAAACAATACAACTCAGTGTAATACACCATATGTACTACCTGTAGGTTGGCATACCTGTGCACAATAGGGTCAATAGACAAACTCATAAATGGGGGTAATCTTAACGCAAAAATTTTGCCGATAAAGAGCACACTGAACACACACACACCAAACACCTGAACGGTTCGTACCATTTATGATATGAAACGGTAGTCAAAGAGCGAGAGTGCACTTTCACCTGAAGCCGTCCTAAGCTGTTAAGTGCACACCAAATGGTGTTTTCACTCAAAATTATTGTTATATTTGAAACCAATTTTCCTCTGCTGTCTCAAACATACTCTCAAAACTCTTATTAACTTATAATTCTCATTATATTACAATATAATATAAAAAAAATAAAATTTTTGAAAAAGGCAGTCATTTATAGAGATTAATCATAATTACAAAGCATAGAGACCTTAATTATAGCACTCGTTTAAATATACTGTATTTAAATATATCATTACATTTACAACAAAAAACTAAATATAAATTATTGTCACTATTATCTCATGTCATTTTACGTCTCTCTCTCTCTCTCTCTCTCTTTCTTTCTTTCTTTCTTTTTTTTCTCCCTCTCATTCACTCATTCACTCATTTATTTGAAAATTGCAGGTTTCATATAAATTAATAATATGTTTAAAATAATTACCATTTAAAAAGTAGTGTAATCAAGCAATTTATTACTTGATTAATCTATTAGTGTTATCAATATTGAATATTTTTATTTTTGTTGTTTATTATTATTTTTTATTTGATGTAAACTAGTTTAAATTAAATAAAATGCATTTTAAAATACACCGATTTAATAGTAGAAGAAAAATAAAATTAATTTTTTTATTTTGTTTTTTTTTCTTATTAACAGATAATAACAAAAACGAAAATAAGAGAAAGAGATATTTGATTTAAAAAAATATCAATTGACTAAAGATTTTTTCTTCAACTAATTATTGATGACTTGCAACAACAACAACAACAACAACAACAACAACAACAACAAAATTTTTGTTTGGTTTTGAATATTTTCAAACTAATTAACATTAAAACAAAAAAATTTAGAGACATATTTCAATGACAGGCATGTAAAACAAATGCCAAAAACCAAACACAACTTATTGGTCACAAAAATGATAAATCGACACAACTTTTCAATTCTCTCTCTCTCTCTCTCTCTCTCTCTCTCTCTCTCTCTCTCTCTCTCTCTCTCTCTCTCTCTATTCAACATATGTTTTCCAATATTTACATAGACTACTGATTTTTTTGGTGAGTATTTGCTAAAATTGTTTCAATATTTTTGTTGTTGATTTCAAGTTTAGTTGGATATTGTTTTTAGTTTCTTTTTTCTTTTTTATATAATTGTTTTATATTTCTCGACAATATTTCAATAAACAAATATTGTGTGTATTTTTTCATCATAAAAAATTAGACTTACAAATTATATGATGAAAAAATAATTTTTATGCAAACTATGTTTACTAAACATACACACAAAAAAATCACTGACCTTTTTGATATGTTAAACAACAATATAAAAATATATATAAAAATATTTTTACAAAAAAAAAATTTTTGTGTTGAAAATTTTTATTTTTAATGACACTTCTTGTGGGACCCAAAAGTTTAGAGCAAACATTTGGCCACTAAATCAACAATATTTGCCAGCAATTCAAGCGTTTGGTTGGTTTAAATAATTTTATTTTATAAAGATTTAAATCTTATTTATTTAAGTCCTAAAACTCTATGTGAAGATTATATATATTTAAGGTGTTATATACACTATATATATATGTACTATAAATTCTGGGCCGTAATTGCAAACACTTTAAAGCCATTGAATTAGAAATGGTTTGGTTAGTGAAGAAGAGGGGATATATTTATTTATTTATTATTATTATATTGTTGTGTAAACCCAAATGAGATATTTAGAAATGGGAAGAAAATTTCGACAAATGGTTTTAAAAGTAAATAAATGCATAAAACGATTGTATTATTTGATTATTTCGGATTCCCAGAAGAGAAATATTATGTATATATAAACACAAAAAAAAAGTTTTTAAAAGAAAAAAAAGGAGAGAAAAGTTTTTATTATTATTATTGAAACCAAATGTTTTCTCTCTGTTCGCTAAAAGTTAAGTGAAATTTATTTCAAATTCTTATGTTTGTCTCATGAATGTGAGGTCTGTTAGGTTTGTGTGTTTGAAGTACTGTTTCTAACTGATACCTAATGTTTGTGTGTCGGGTCCAGCAATGTGTTTGCCTCTCTGTTTTTCTTCAATGGTATGGACTCTCCACAGTATGCGAGTTAGTTATGTATTATACAGTATAATAATGTGTGTGTCTTATAAACGGCTGAAAGATTGGGCTTCAAAGTCAAATACTTTTAGTTTAGAGAGCAAGTGATCACTCCCTCTGAGCCATAGTTTGTACAAAAAAGTAACCAAATTTTTAACTCTCAGCTCAGGCTTATTATTGTTGGGGTACTACCTATGGCTATGGCCTTTGGGTTCCAGTAGTGTATTCACTGGATTCACGTTTTCCATATAAGTTTCATGTCTTTCTTTATTCAATATTACCCGTGCAAGTCATCAACAACTAGTACTGCTGTAGTCTCTCTCTCTCTCTCTCTCTCTCTCTCTCTCTCTCTCTCTCTCTCTCTCTCTCTCTCTTACCTCTATAGCCAACACTCCTTACGTATGCATAGCACAGCACTGGCAGCTCAGCTCAGGTGTTCTTTCTCTCTCTCATTCTTTCCCTCTCAGGTGATGTGAAGTGCATTCAAGGCATACCTACACTATTTTCTATGGACACAGACTTAAACTATTAGGGGATTAAATGGGGAAAAACTGGAAGAGAGAGAGAGAGAGAGAGAGAGAGAGAGAGACTGAGTCTTGCGTAGAAGTGATGGCTTTAAAAGTTGGAGTATTGAAGGGCAGAGCCAGCACTTGTAGCTGATTTAGAGTGTCGTGACCGCAACCAGACCGTCGACAAAATAGTTGCAAACAGTTTTTGCTTCGTGTAAATGCATTGCATATATAAATATGTGTTTTGAATGTTTTTTCTGGAGATAAACAGCACTTAATTTTAATAGTTATGTGGCATTTGTTGTAATGAATACTTAAACAACAACAACAAAAAGTTATCGATTTTGATAACATTAATATAGTTATACAATATTATCATTATATATATATATATATATATTTATTTATTTATGTATAAATTATATAAAAGTGATAATCATTTATGAAAAAGTGTGGCTACAAAAAAAAGTTGTGGCAATGATTTGCCTGTCAGTAGTAAGCATTGATTTGCGGTTAAATAATAGTAATACCTATACTGAACCTGTAATTTAGCGATAATTTGTTGTGTATTACACAAACACCTCAAGCTATCCATCGCTGGCAACAGCTTTTCAATTGGCTTGTCTTCAGTGCAATTCATAAACCATTATTACTATTCATATAATAACTGTTTTTTCCTTAACTTATTATTTGTATTATGTCTTCAACTATAATTATATCACTGCTTCTGTGTATATACTTTAACCGACACTCATCACAATCGCTGCCAATTATGATCACAAACGGTATTTATTGGAGCAAACAATTGGAAAGTCAGACACCGATTGGTTTTAATGCCATCGATGATAGTCGATGGTCACATCTGGTCAATACATCACATGTTGTCAAAATGGTTAAGGGATGCGGTCGTGTCCACAACAGACTCGTCACCTTCAGTACTGGTCATATGTCTTGTGTTAGGTCTCGACAAAACAACGATCAAATACAAGGAGATATATTTAGTTTCTATTTGAGCCGATTGTTGGCCATCACAAATCTACCGCCGGCTACGGTAGCTTTGGTCAAAACAAAAGATTCTTCTTATGATAATCAATGGCAAAATGTGAGAACTGAATTACAGTCATATAATTGGGACAAAAAACCTGTTGTATTGACACAATATGTCAACGATTTAGTGCCCGCTTATATACCTCAACAGTTAACCACTGATAATAGACGGTTACATCCCGTAGCCGAAGATATCGGTGGCTTAAATGTGTCTCAATTGACAGAATTGGTTCAATGGAGTGATCTAATTGTGTTCGACTATTTGACGGCTAATATGGACCGTTTAATCAATAATATGGTTAACCATCAATGGGATCAACAGATAATGCAAAAGCCGGTACACAATCTGCTAAAAGTGAAAAATAGCGGACTTTTGTTGTTTATAGACAATGAATCGGGTCTTTTGCACGGCTATCGACTCATCAATAAGTATGAGCGACAGCACCGGTCGGTGTTAAGTGCTTTGTGTATATTTCGTGAGCGAACTGTCCGCTTAATTGAAGAGTTTTATAAAAATAAAGACCAAATCTTTTACACAATGAAAAAGCTATTCAAGAGAAACATTTTAGACAGAAATGTCTTCTCTGTTCTACCATTTCTTCCGGAGAAGAGCTTCAAAATATTGTTTGAAAGATTAGACAGAGTTTACCAACAAATTAATTATTGTAAAAAATTATATCAAAATAATAGTTTAAATAGTAATTATAATTTATAATATAATTTATATAAAATATAATTATATATCTATAATTAAATAGATTTTTTTATATATAATATAGCCAATGTATAAATAAATGTTCAATTTATATAAATATTTATTTTAATAAATACATATAAGTATATATATATTTAAATTTAAATTAATTTTATTTTTTAATTAATTGTATAAAACTAGAAAATGTGTATTCAATAAACATTTTTTAAAAAAAAAGATAAATGAAACAACTATTTCATGATTAATGTGTTTTTTGGTGCCTGTGTTTTGAGGTGTACACACACACACACACACACACACACACACACACACACACACACACACACACACACTAAGGTAATCATTGCTTATATCATACCGTCACTACTAATCTACAATACACTTACGTACACAACACACCAGGCTATACCATATTTTTAAGAGTATAATATTGTCTAAGACATACCGTACCTCATCATATATCTAAGCATTGCTTTAGTTTTTTTTTTGTTAGTTGTGTTTTGTTTATAACATAGCATACAATCGTTGTTTTAATTTGAGTTTCAAATCAAATTCATCTTTTAATTCGCTTCACACAAAAAAACATTTAACAGATATAAATATATTTCCATAACTTTTTTATATATTCAAAACACTTCATCAATAAAATTGAGTTTAAATGATAAGATCGCTGGGTTGGCCAAACACATACACATACATACATACACATAGGGGGGGGGGGGGGGGGGGGGGGGGGGGGGGGGGGGGGGGGGGGGGGGGGGGGGGGGGGGGGGGGGGGGGGGGGGGGGGGGGGGGGGGGGGGGGGGGGGGGGGGGGGGGGGGGGGGGGGGGGGGGGGGGGGGGGGGGGGGGGGGGGGGGGGGGGGGGGGGGGGGGGGGGGGGGGGGGGGGGGGGGGGGGGGGGGGGGGGGGGGGGGGGGGGGGGGGGGGGGGGGGGGGGGGGGGGGGGGGGGGGGGGGGGGGGGGGGGGGGGGGGGGTGAGACCCCAAGGCCAACCAGTCCTTAGGGGGGGTCCTCTCGTAGGGACTCTACTGTATGTTTGTGTCAGTTCTATGACCAAAAATATTCAAAGGGGGGTCTCTTTTCCACCGCAATTCTCAAACAAGTGGCCAAAGATTTTTGGTATTTTGTATTTTTTCAGAAAAAAACAAAATAAAAAAAATCTCGTCTTTATTAGTGAATAACTTAGTAGAAGTAGTAGTAGTTTTTAAGTCCAAAAATACATATATTATTTATTTTAATTTATTCACACAAAAACTTTATATTTTTGTTAGCTATTAAATCTTTGCATAAAAAATGAGAGACAAAATAGCACAACTGTATATAAGTTTTGATATGATTTCTGYATTTAAAAAAAAATAACAACAAAACTTGTACACAATGTTGCAAATAAATGAACTTGATCATTTGCTTTAACATCATTATGTACACACACACACACACACATAAAAAATTGGCCAAAAATAACATATACAGTACAGGTGTTTTTTGTGTCTAAATTATATTCAAACAATCAAAAACTATGATACTTTTGTTTTGTTTTTTTATCTTTCACACCATAAAAAGATATTTTGTGTGTCTATTAATAGAAATGTTGTTTTAATATTATTATTGCATGTTTGTTGTTTGTAGTAATAAAACGATGAATTTTTTTTTGTTAAACGTTGTGAAAAAAACATTATTTAAAGTTAATGACATTGTTTTACTATAGTGTAGTCGTTTAGGAGATGGTGTATTAGTATTAAATGTTTTATTATCTTAATAGTGTTTCTTAAATTTATTGAATGTATGTTTTTTTAATAGATTTAATAGTTTTTTTGTTTTTGTTTTTTTTCTTGAAAGTCACAATAATTAATTATGAGAGGTGTTAAACATTTCATTTACAAATGTGTTTCAGATAAATAAATATATATATAGATATATACTATCATATAGTTTATGTTTTTGTTGTGTTTTTAATACTATACAAAAAAAAACATGAAAAAATAAAAGCAAAAGTACTGTAAATTTATAATTACTTGTAAATTCACTGATTAGACTTTTTGAAGAGAGAGAGAGAGAGAGAGAGAGAGAGAGAGAGAGAGAGAGAGAGAGAAAAGGTTTGAAAGCTAGAAATCATAAAATAAAATCTGACTTATTTTAATAGATATCTTATTTTAAGTGCCAATAATCGGCCCCTGTATTTGGCTCCGGGCTCTTAACTAGTTATACATAACATTACGGGCAAAAAAACATCATTTGCCATTAGTCGCATGATTTCCACTCTTTAAAAATAACATACCATAATATAACATACAATTGACTAATCAATGATTTTCACGATAACTACCGTTTATTAAATTTAATCACATATTTTAAGCGCACTTACTATATAAACATATAATCATGTTTTAGTATTATTTAAAATTGTATATTTATATCATATATATATTTTTTTTGTTTAACCATAATTGTTTTGATCATGTAATTATGCAATTTTATAGATATTTAATTAAAATAAATTATAATTTTAAGCCATTCAATAGTCATAAATCAGTTTATCGGAAAATATAATGACTACTTTATTTTATAGCAACACATTAAATATATTATAAATTTGTTTCAAAACACTTTCAATCATAACAAACTATACCTTCAATACATTTTTATGAACAAACATTTATTTAATATTATTATTAATATTATTATATTTAAATAATTGCATATTTTAAATATTACATATTTTTTTTGGAAATTTCTAAAAATTTGTGACATTTTTTTTAATGATTTAAGTTTATATTTATCGTATATGATATCTGTTTGTGTTGAAATGTTTGAAAAACATATCAATGTTACATCAAATATACTTATATTGACTTAAAATAACAAATAAATTTCTATAGTCTTGAAATATGTTTATTATTGTACATAATTTAAGTATAATTTACAAATAAAACATTTTAAATGTTTAAATTATTCAATATTTTTCATAAAACACTGCAACATAATAATAATAATAAAATAACAACATAAATAGTAAAAATAAATATAAAATACTAATAATAATAAAATAACTTCTGATATTATCTATGTTTAAGATTTATAGTTAATTATAAATAGAGTAAAAACATTTAGCATTAAATACAATGAATCAACTTTTATGTCTTTTATATAATATTTTTCATAGAGTTTAAGATTAATTTTCATTGAATTTATAACCGGAAACAACAACAAAATCTATTATATGATATTTTCTAACATAATTGCAAATCTTTATTATTATTATATTGTATTAAATATTATATTATATAATATATAACATTATATGATTGTATATAAGCCCACTATATATACTATATACCCAGGAATGGGTTGGTTTGGTTACCCATCAAGTTTGTTATCATATACAGTGTTCATGTAATTCAATGGTTTGTTTATTGTATGTATGAAAGAGAAAGAAAGAAAGAAAGAAAGAAAGAAGAGAGAGAGAGAGAGAGAGAGAGAGAGGCAGACATACATACAGTGTATACATTCAATACATAATATTAATGCTTTCAAAAAATGTTATAAATAAATAGTTAAATAAATTAATACCATTATTATTATTTATAATAACGACTATATTATGTATATGTCTATAATGGCATAATAATAATAATAAAGTTGTTTTATATATAATTTACAGTATAATAGTGTGCTTCCCATCAGTTTGCGATGACTTTTTGAATGGAAAAGTAAATTTTAGAGGAACGGTATATAAAATAATATACTGTACTCGAGAAAAAAAGGTTATGCTATTTATAAAGTGATATTTAATTATTTTTATTTTTACAAATTAGTAGATTGTTATTATATTACAAATGTAATGATTGCCTGACAAATGCGTGAATATTAATTAAGTGATCCGACACATTGTCTCGTACCACCCTCTAGGATAAAAACACTCACCCGTTTTTTTGGTCACCCCCTGCTAATATGACCAGGATACTGGATCTCCATGATCCCTGTCCATTATCCCTCACTTTCCCCACACTTGTTTGGGTCTCTCTCTCTCTCTCTCTCTTTCTCTCTCTCTCTCTCTCCTATACCAGTCTAGACTATTGCACCAATAATAATGAGCTCTCAAAAATCCAGGTAATCACCAGGTATTTGACAAATAATATAAAAGCGACTCAATTTTTTTAATATAAATAAATTATATATATATTTATTTTGTTGTTATTTTTATGATCATTTTGAGCCAAAAATTAGAGTCACACAGCATTTATATTACATACGGTATATGATATATACAAAGCATAAGTATAAATACCCATCAAATGTCAGCCGGGAATACTTAAATCGTTAATCAAAACACATGTTTTCTCATTTATAAAAATATAATTTTTTTCAAAATAAAAAATGAATTTAATTTAATTTTCTATTTAAAGAGTAGAACATATATATATATATATACTGATATATATTACCAAAACCCCCACTTATTTAATTAATTTATCGCTTAATAATTTTATTTAATTTTTATTTTTTATTATTAATAAAACGAAATGTATTTTTAAATGTCTTTAGGCACTGACTGTATGTATAATATTTTTTTAAGTTCAGAGAGACATCAGTGAAAAAATTCGTATAATTTTCAATAAAATAAAATTAACTGATGACTGAATTTTTTCTTAGTTTTCTTTTTATATTATTAGTTGGCATTTAATGAGAAACCAATGTTTTCGTTATATTCATGTATGTATACCTTTGTATGTTTATGTCTTTGAGCACAGGTATGATGTGGACGAGTATTTTTATTTTATTTTTTTAAAGAGAGACATAGCATTCATATCACTCATACCCCCTGCTATCGGATTTCCGCATCACAGGAGGTATTTGAAAATTTCTATAATGTTTTAGCAAAAATTTCACTTATCTTTGAAAAATTTTTTTGC